TAAAGGATTGATTTAGAGAATAGAAGTAGGCGACACGTGTTCTACTGTCCTTGTCCAATGCACGCTTCCGAGTGTCGAGTTCTTTAGGAGATGGCAGAAGTATGCCAGCCCGCAGGCAGCTCACTTCGCTGCCCGACCATTCAGAACCTATTCTGCGCGTAGTGCTGTATTTATGGTCGAATACGCAGTGTGCTCAGATTGGTGCGAAGTCTTCGTCCCAATTCGCCACCTGACGGCGTTCTCGAGATTTGAATTTGCGGCGTTGACGAAGTTAGCCGCCGGCACTGTGACACATTTCCGCTTCGTTCGGAAGAAAACACGCCGTGGCTTTTTCGGGCGTGACCGCGCGCCTCTGCACGCTTCCGCTGCGGCCGTTCAGTTGCGCTGGTGGACCGTTTTCATGTCGGGATTGACGATGCGCTGCAAGAGTACTCGATATTACGAAAGGTCGGCATATCCTCTTACGCTATATAAATGTGTCCTCGTGTTTTGACGCGCGTGCAAGCGCTGTGCGAATGAGAACAAAGAGCACTCGTGCATGAATTAAGCAATCGAAAATGCAGCTGTGCAATTAGTCGCCGCGGTGGACATGTATTAGCGGCATTCGTGGTTTTCGTGTATTCAATCTATAGGTATGAAATCGCAGCATGTAAATTAATTACCTCGAAAGAGGGGGCACTTATATAGCCCCGGGCCTGGTTCAGGTACATATTGACCACTGATATATTCATTGATCGCTTCGGCTAGCTACTGCCGCAATTGCCATATCTTGGCAGAATCGGTGCGTAGTCTGAGCTGAAGGTAAAATGAAAATCTAAGCATGTTTATTTTGCGGGATTCTGTTCCGATCATACATGCTTCGAGCATATGAATGATCAGAACTGAATTCTGCGTGTCCATATATACATCCTACGTGGATATACATGGACACGTCATTGCGAACTGTACACATAAACGTCCATGTAGAAGGAGAGGAATGACGTGTCCATATATCCACGTAGGATGTATACGGACGCGCAGAATTCTGTTCTGATCATACACATGTTCTGATATGAACACGTCATTCCGAACTGTACACGCACATAAACGTCCATGTAAAAGGAGTGGAATGAAAAACGGGAAAGCAAATGGGGTGCATCAAATAGGTTTTTGCTGGGAAATTTCAAGCTCTAGACAGCTTCGCTAAACTGAAAGAAAGTTTGCACTCGCAGCTGCTATCCACTACCGGCGAGTGTAAAGAGTTGGCACGCGCACGTCATACGATACTGAGCGGATACGCGCCATATTCGCCAATGAGACTACATTTCCTTGGCCTGCATTCACATACGTCTCCTTCGTGGCCACGGCATACGTTTTGTGAATCTTTAATGCAATACGTGCACACCACGCGCTTTTTTTTTTTTTCCTTTAAGGAGCGCCCGCGTTCGTTACATATGTAAGCCACATATGCAGGAGTAAGCGTTGCTTTGAAAATGTGAAACAAGTGGAGACGTATTTCTGCCTGTTCTGCTGCTTTCTGAAGGTCTTAGTGAAATTTTTAAAAAAAGAAATAAATGGGGAGAGCGCCAGTTACGTGCTCTTTCTTAGTCGAAAATTGGCAGCACTTGATGGTGAAAAATAACTCCTTTTTTTTTTTTTGTTCCTTTTGAAACACCCTGCGCTGCAAATGTTCAAACCCGCGTTTGGGGCGCATACATTGCCCCCCCCCCCCCCCCATGTGCACTCTAGGACATTGTGCTGAGAATAAAGTTTGCATTTTCTTTTTGTGTGTGTGACGTCGGAATAATGTTCGCATCAGGCGCAGATAACGTCAGTCGTACATACGAAAAGTCTCCAGAGTTTGTAACGAATAACTAATTTACTCTTTTGAGTTTCTCTTTCACCATTAGAAACTTGTCGCACAACAACCGGCTCATCCATATAAACTTCATTAATGATATGCATGGGCGTCAGCACACTGGAGTGCAAAAGGAGAACTTCCTTCTTAAACAAAACATTTGAAACTACACGGGTGTTCCCCGCGATCATAAACGTATCAGCCGGGGGGGAGGGGGGGGGCAAGGGGGGGCGCTAGCTTTCCTGCATTCGACAGTGGTCAATCTTGGCTGCATGATGGGGAAACAAACAACTAAGGTGATGTTTCTTTTGACAAAGTAATCACTCAATTAGAAAAGTTACGAGGGGATCAATATATTACGATAAAATGTTACATATAATGAAATATTTCCAACAATGCTGCTGTGAAGATTTTTCTGGACTCTTTGTGGTGCAGACCACTTTACAACGCTTTGGTGCCTTGGCGCGTGGCATGCAGGCTAGCCCTGAAGATTATAGCACTGGCTCATGCTTTTATTCTGCTGTGCCTGGCTGGCTAATGCAGCTACAGATGGGTATAAGCGAAGGTGGATGGGTATAAGCGAAGTTTTTTATTGAGTGTTCGCCGCTTCACGAAAATAAATTTTTTTCGTAGAAAAGGAATAGCATCCCCGTTACTCTGTCGAAGCTGCTGTGAGCCTATGAGTGTGATGAATTCTTTTCAATGTTTGGTATTGCCTTACTGAAAGAGGAAGAAAGAAAGAAAAGGTTTGTGCTTCAGTCTCCGATCAACCAAATCGGTGATCAGTTTTGCTTACGGTACCTTTTTTTTTTTTTTAATTGTAACAGTGGCAGCAGCTTTCAAAGTGGTGACGAATAAAGCAGTGGAATCGGGCAGCAGGAAGCTCAGCTTATAATCTTTCCCTGAAACTTTATCCCACGAACCAGGGAGATAGTTAAGTCCGTGAATTTTTTGCACTAAGTAGATTTAAAGAAGCGCACACGTTCAGCGCTGCTTATTCCTCTCGTTTTCTTGGCATAAGTGAACTAATTGCATTTATGCAGAGAATTGTGAGGTGAGTCATAAAATATCGCCGCCATATCCACAAAGTGATGCGATGTAAGAGGCGCTCGCTCGAAGACGATCGCGTAACCCACTAATCCTCCGTCTACATCACCCACCATCTAAAATAGACCTGACAACGTTAGTATATAGCCCAGCACTGTCCATTTCCATGTTTCTGCGCATCATACCCCATGCTATGTATAGTAGAAAACTGTGTCTTGCTTGCAATTGTTTTCATACTGTCATAACCATTTCGCACAAGTGCCCGTGTTTATTGATTTATCACGATATATGCTATATCAACGGCGAAAATAGTTAAGCATGTGTTGGGGGCCTCCGCCGTACTTATTTATTTAAAAAGTGCGTTTTCGCGTGCACCCTGTATTCCCTGAGGAAGGTGCAGGCTCTCTTGCGGAAACTTTGGAAGAAATAAACATTTTCGCACGTTTGTCCGTCATTTCTTCCCCCCCCCCCATATATATATATATATATATATATATATATATATATATATATATATATATATATATATATATATATATATATATATATATATATATGCTACGCGCTTTTTTATTGTGAGCACAGAGTATTCGAGCGAGGGGGAGCTGACAAAGCACATAGAAATTATCCCGTTGGGCGACGAAATTACGCCCAGAAAGGTGTATTGTTGCTTTTGAGTGACTTTGTGGGTACCGCACACAACTTTTTTTGACAAATAGCTTCCTGTGCGATACGCGGTGCACATTACACCACGGTGCTAGACCCTTTGCACCACTTCACGTGGTAAATTAGGCTTAGCGTAGCGTTGAGCCGTATACTCGCCAGAGAGCTAGCTGCACGTCTGTGCAGTACGTGGAAGGTGCAGTACGGGTGCTCGAAACTTGGTGCATGCAGTCATGATCATTCACGGATCCTTTCGTGGCGTACACAATCTGTGCAGCTCTCAACGCAGCCTCCACCTCGTCATCTTTTCGCCCGGCGTGACACGGCTGGCACAATGCGCACCGCAATCCGATAAGCCACAGCGCCAATTATCACCCGAGGCATACTTCACCAGCGGCGCCTATCAAAACTGGGCTGCAAGCTCGCAGGAAGAATCATTGTTTATCTAACAGTCCGAGCAGCAGCGTCGGTATGTTCGCCCCGCTGCTGCTAACACGTTAACAAAACGTTATGTTTCATGATGGGATGCTACGTTCCTTCTATAGACCGCATCCCACACTTTCATCAGGGATGGTACCCGCTGACATCCGCGCCCCAACGTGAAGCCTGATAAACATTTCCGATCCAAATTATTACCGAAAAACTCGAACAAATCGCTGCACTAGGGAGCGTTCAGGGCTGGAGGCGCGCGCACACGAAAGCTCCCAACCCTAGAAGAGGAAACACATTCGGCGACAGACCATGTGCACATACACAAATTTAGCCGTTAGCTGCTGAGTGAGGAAAAGTGTCTCGCGCGTGTCACCCAAGCGCAGTGTGTAAAGAACTGTGGAATTAAGTTATATGTCTAGATTTATAAATGAGAAGTTCGTACTAAGCGAAAATTCGCTCTAAGCAAGTTGTCGCGAGCGGCGGTAATTGAATTTATTTGGCCCGGTCTGATTGTTTATGCAACGTATAAAAACAGCTAGTACCACACATGCATTTAGCCTCAAGTGATGTCAGTAACCCTGAAAAAAGAGTATTATAAATTTATTGCAAAGAAAATTAGGCAATGTGTGTATCACGGACAAAGATTTTTGCACGAACCACACGGCTACTATACAGCCTCGGCAAATCTTCCAGAAATCACGCTCACCATACATCAATTGGTTGGTTGGTTGCAATACCATGCCTGGCAAGATAAACGAGGACGGCAGCGAACACGGAAATCGTACTAAGATTTTGGGCTGGAAATTTCATCGGTGTTATCCGCAGATAGAACAGCGCGTAAATATATCCAGTGACAGGTTTGTTCTGCTGCACATCAGCGAACAGTTTGGCGAAGTAACAGTTGGTAAGATGCATGCGCACCAGCGGTTGCCATGTGAGACCAGTATGTTTTTGATCGCGCGCGTGCGATTGTTGGAGCGGAGGAGTGCGGCAACGGGGCGACTGTCGTCCGTGCGCGCCTGCGCAAGCCTGCGCAGTCTCTCGGGAGTGCCCGTCGGGCCAAGCCGGCGGGTGCCAACGGTGTGGCGTTGCGTTGCGGCCGCTGCTGATAACAACGGAGTGACCTCTTATCTCTCCCATCGCGTTTGGATGTGACATCCGCGAGCAAAAGCGGTGAGTCTCCGCGGGGTTGCCCCCACCGTGCGCTTCGGATTTCCCTGCTGGCGCCTTGGAAGAACGGTCCACTAGCCCTAAATCGATACGGTCGGGTGTATGTGGAGCATGAAATGAACTTTTACTGCTTCGCTCTACCTTTGCCCTTTTTGAAACAATTAGGGCTTTACGAACTACGATTTGCATGTACTCGGAGAAGCGTTTTTACGATATTTCGATGTGTAAACGATTTAATAAAGGATCACGGCCCGTGTGTACTGCTGGTGGGCAGTACGTTCCTCAGCTGCGCTGCGCTTGCAGCGAAGAATAACACTACGCTGTAGTCGTTGGCATATATATGTACAGAAAGTTTTCTGCACGCACTCGATCCGTGCCACATTGGGCCACATTTTGCTTTCGCTTTCGGCGAGCTGTTGGAACAACCCACGCACATCTCGTAGCTCTCCACAACCGGTTAGGTAGGCTAATTCCATCATCTATTCGGTTATGCGAGGCACGGTTAATTTGCTTTACACGCAGATTGGGCACGGATACGTGGCGCTGTGCCTTTTCGATCGTGATCGAACGCGTTTATTATCGAGTTTAGGAATCGCGATTGGCTTATTTGCTCAAAGAGCGGAATAAGTCGAGCCAATCGCGGCAGACAAATTCTGTCCTGATCGGGGCTCGATCGCGATCAAATTTAAGTGCCTGTGTGACACCTTTGTGGGAACCTATAATCAGTCTACGTGCACTTCATTATCCACTTTGTATAGCCCCGTATGATAGTTCAAAGCATCGCCGCGGAAGTTCGGTCAAGTCCGTGCAGTGGCATGAGGGCTTCCTGCCTTGTTTTTTGCAGCCGAATTCAGCATTGTCTGTGAAACGCTTTAATCTGGAGCAGATGGACGCATGCTGACCAGAATGACCTCACTAAGTACCAACCACGCGTTTTGCTTGGGTAAGTTTGTTTTAATTCTGTTGTTTACATTTAAACTGTCAATTGGAATGATTCCAGGAGAATGGATGGTGAACATTGTTTATCGTTCCGCACATTTAGGCATTGATACCGTATGATGTATATGAAGTGCTCCGCTTAATATGCAACGAGCCCAACCCGCCTCTGTGTAGTCAGTAGTATTGTTGTGCATCACATTGATATTCTTTGGTGGTACTGGGAGTACATATGGTAATCAGTTGATGTGGTCGATGTATGTGAAATGTGTAGAAGGCAAGTGTTATAAAATGGCACAACTGTATGAGTGAAGTTTCCATAAACTACAAAGGCAAAACCATAGGGAGTTTTTGAATAGGGGTCCCAAAAGTTTGGGGCCACAAAGCCCTTTGCGTATGGACGCTTTGGGTCAAGCAGTAGCGATGAGTTTTCGAATAGGGTCTGCGGCGCTTTAGACACTCCCCCTATTCTATGTCACTCTAGTATTGGCCGAGAGCCGACACTTCTGTGGGTGCCGTCACGTTCGTATCAGCAAAAACTTTTGGGGCAGGCTTTAAGGCTCCCACTAAATTTGAGAAATGGCATTTCAACCCAAAAGCGGTTTGGGTTTTTGCGTATGCGCAGTGGCCTTGATGCTATTTGTTAGGGGGACCTTGTTCAAAAGCTCTCAACATATTTATCTTCATTTATTTTATACAATACTGCAGATTAGTACAAGCAGGAGAGGATGCACATAAATACACAAAAACAAAATGATCAAAAGTTTTTGCATAGTAGATGTGAAGAAGATTATGATGAATTCCACTCCGTGATTGTTAGAGGGAAAAATGAATATTTATAGAAATTAGTTCTTGTGAGTACAGGTTTCATGCAATGGCTGTGCTTGCGACGTGATACTCGACTGATGTGTTTCTGAAAGTAATCATCAGAGTTTATTCCGAGCTTATTAAAATAAACTGAAGAAGATAAAAAATTCAAGCATGCCTGTTTTATTCTTTCAGATAGGGGCTCTGATTTGGCCATCTGTAGCATATCTGACGGTGAATCAAGGCATCTGAAACGTCACAGACAAATAAAACAGAAGTAATCTTGAACCAATAAACCAAATTGTACGCTGTTTTAATGGTGACGCACAAAGCGTGGCTTATCGCAGTTAAGGTTGATTGGTATCACGTTTATCAACAGTGATTGGCTCCCTTATGTAGCTTTCCTAAAGGACCCATTCACATTCGAGGATGTTAATCCAGATCTGGCTCGACAACAATGAACTTACAACAAATGTAGAGTTTACATCAGGAACACTATAGGGAAGAAAAGAGAGTGGCACATATAGGAGTGACACTGCTTGTCACATATTGATTTTGTAAATCTGCACTGCTTCCTTGCACCACATTCAGTGCTGTCGCCTTTCAAACCTTCCTGCAGTTGTTAATTTTGTCATATGTGACACTTGTAATATCTGCACTAGTATTGAAGGAACATTATAAAATATATTTTTGTATATTTTTTAGATCTACTTATTAGGTTTGTGCTATCCCTAGATGGATTAGTGACTATGCAGTTCCTGTACTTGGTTAACGCAGAGCGAGATGACGACTCCGGCGATCTGGATGTGAACCTCAATGGACCTGTTGGGGTTAAAAATCGCTGGAGCTATGCGCAGCTGCACGTTCAATCCATGGGCATCGACTTAACCAGCCAGCCTATGCTTGAGCAGCCAGATGGTGACAATAACTTGTGAGCTCCGTGCTTATTATTATTATTATTATTATTATTATTATTATTATTATTATTATTATTATTATTATTATTATTATTATTATTATTATTATTATTATTATTATTATTGTTATTGGTTATCTTTGCGCTTTTATTATTTCTGCATGACCACACACATGTTGCTGTTTTCTTATGATAATGTGATCATTAGAACCAGTATCCCAGGCATTAATGTTACATTGCTGGATGAATCAATCCATAAAGGGGAAGGGTAGGCTTGCAGGCTTTGCCTTTAAAGGGACATTAATGTCCAATATTAAGTCAATGTTGATTGCTGAAATAGCAATCCAGAAACAACGTAGTGCTACTTTTGTGCCAGAAATATGCTTATTCTAAAATAAAGTTACATTTTAGTGGTCCGCATCGTGTTAGCACACTTCAAATTACCCACCTCAAGTGGAACCTTTCACGTCACTTTTGCCGTACACAACGTTGCCCGGTTTCACTGCGGCCAGAACTAGTGGCCACCGACACAGCAGCAGAATGAAAGTAGCGGGAGCCGCAGCAGCAAAAACGGCTATTAAACCATTTCCTGCCATCGTCTCCGAGATGGCAGGCATGCTTGGTTTAACTGGGTCCCGCTAGATGGCTTGACCTGTCTGGTTTAACCAGGCGTAATTGAACTTTTGTACCTCTTGCGCCATTTCCTATAGTAACGTCCGGTGTTTTTTTTTTTTTCCATAAATCGCACAGAAACAAACAAGCAGCCTTTTATTACATTTCTTGATGCACGAAAGGTTCTTTATTTAATGCAGCTAGTTCGATTACTGGTGATTAATTGTAGGCGGTAAGTCTGACGTCATTGGGATCACTTTGCAAATGTCCTACTGACGGAGCATGTGTTCTCATGTATTTACATTAATTAAGTAGTGCACTGCTGTTGATAATATTGCCGTTTTAAACGTTGTCATACATTGAGCTTTCACTTTGACTTAAATTGTTATTTGACTTTAGTGTCCCCTTAATGTTAGTGCATTGGCCATTAATCAATATGGTATCTAAAGGGGCTCTTGCACATGCAGCTGCTTCGATGTAAGCTAAAATCATTACAGACTAGCTTGCTTTTCTTACCTGTAAAACCTATTTAGGGAAACACAATAAAGAAAAAGACACAGAAGAGGAGGTATTCCTTACTCTTATGGGCAAGTTATGGTATCGTATGGCTGTTGCTAGTTTTAACTTCACACTTGAGTTGCATCTGTGTTTAGTTAACGTCTTTCTCAAAGGAACATGGTTGAAATGTTGAAAATACAAACGTTTTGTTCCGGCTGCTGGCAATTTATCAGAGCAGAGTGAGTGCTTTGCAGTGGGCATGAGTCCATTGTTTCTTGTGCCACATTGAAGGCTGTGCTATGCAGACTCTCAGAGAAGGAGGTGGACGAAGCAGAACAACAGGGTCTGCCCGAAGGCTGGGAGCGCCACTTGGACGACGACGGGCCCTACTACTGGCACATCCGCACAGGGACCATCCAACGCGAGCGACCGCGAGAAGGCACTACTCGCTCTCTTCCAACACCCGAAAGTCGGCCACTTCTCCCACCACCACCGGAGCCACCAGCTACTCAGCCACAGGCAAGACTTACTGTGCCAGCTGTGTTATATTTGAAGGGTTTCCCTGCTTGATGTTATACTTGAAGGGATCCTGAACAAAAGTTGCAAAAACTGATGGAAACATCAAAATTCTACTCGGCAGGTGTGACTGTTCCAATAAACCAAGTTTACTTCATATATTTTTTAGCATGTGTTTTATGTGGATTCTCGCAGCTGCATGCGTGCACAAGCCATGATGTCACATTCACTGAGGCGCATGCAGAGTGATCATGTTCCTATCCTCTTCTGCACAATAGAAGTGTACTGATGCTGACATGACAGGCCCCAGAAATGGAAGTGAATGTATGCTGCCTAGGCACAAAAAAAAAAAAATAAAAAAATAAGTGGGGGGAGGGGGGGTGTCTGCCAGATCAAGCGCGGGTACTTATTCGTACCGTGTGTCGACAAAGTGGTGTGCATGATCCCAGTGTCATGCACTAAAAAATATGTCCGCCAAACTTTAAGATTTCTTAATGTGCACCTGCGTGAACGTTGCTGGAATGTGCAGAGTGGCAACTTCGGATATCTTAGTTCGCATTGCAGAGGTTGTGGTTGCCTGCCTGCTTACAAGTAAACCGAAGTGATTTTCACAAGTAGGAATGTGCTCACTTGAGAGATTGTAGAAGCGGCCCACATTGCTCGTGTGGGAGATGCATGCATCAGCATGTCTTGCTTTGATTTTCCCAAGAACGAAGTTAATTAACTTTTGTATGTGGATGTACTTGCAAGATAGTATTTTTGACATTATAACTTTGGCACTTGTTCGTGTTTATGCGCAGTGCTTGTCTCATGTTCTCTTGCTCATTGTAATTTTTTCCACTACGTATGTGTCTTTTCCGAATTAAAAATAAATTTGAAGTCCGCACTTGTACATGTAGCCTCCCTTTTGCCACACTGTTAAAGATATTTTAGATGATGTGCCATGGAGTCAACCATACTTTCCGTGAGGAAAGCGTAAGCAACGTAGCCAAAGTGTTCATCAACTACACGCAGGAGGACTGTGTAGCTGATGGCAGCAACAGCAGCAGTGGCGAGGCAATGCGTTTCGCCGTGCGTTCCCTTGGCTGGTCAGAGATTCCCGAGAGTGAGCTGACTCCCGAGCGGTCAAGCCGTGCTCTGAACCGCTGCATTGTCGACCTGTCACTCGGCCGAGGCCTCGATGGTGTGGGCCGATGGGGCGAGGGGCGGTCGCTGCTTCTGGAGCTGGATGGCTTTCAGCTTCGCCTGCTGCGGCCCCAAGACGGCACCGTGCTGCACTGTCAGCCCCTGCATGCCATTCGAGTTTGGGGCGTTGGCAGGGACAATGGCCGGTACTATCACACTTGCTGCTTTTTCAGAAATATAAATTGCAGATGGGAAAAGCCAGAAGGCATCACTAAGTACAGGGGGCTCAAATTCATTTCAACTAATGACTCCCACGAAGGCCAGAAAAGCAAAGAAGGTAGGAAGGGGAGGAAAAGGGTTTGTACAAAATGTCCGCTAACATTGCCATTTCAAAGACCTTTCCCCTAACTGATATAAGGGTCATTTCTGAAGGGGATTTGACACTAGGATTCTAGCAACACATCTATAATGATCTACAAAATGACTAAAACCTGGGGTCCAATTTTGAAACACTTAGTTTTATGTCAGGATTATGTATCGACACTAGGTGACTGCAAGGGTAGCCTGAAAAAAAAAATAGTTTGTGACAGTCATGCTTGTGTAGCTCATGAATATACTTGAGAAAATAAAAGAAAAAAATGCAGGAAGAAGACAGTCATGGGCGAGTGGGGCCTCTATTGAGAGGCCCACGGGCTGTGTGTGTGGGACCCCTGACTTAGTCTATTTTGTTGCTTTTGCAGGAGGGCCTGAAAGTTAGTGAAATAAGAAACCCTAAATTTTATGTGCATGGATGTTGTCATGAGTGTGTGTTACCGCACTTGCAAAAGCTGCGTTCACACCAGTCCTTTATTGTCTCCGAGCAGTCCCAGCTTGTTGCCTTCGAGATTTGTCACTGAGTTGCAGGTGGACACCAAAACTATAAGTCTTGAAGTCATGCTGAGCAGCTGTGCATAACTTCTTCTGAGAGTTGGAATATAGTCTATGTATAATTGCAGTGTACATCTGTATACACTTTTTTAGCTTCAGGAAGGAAGGAGTATTTTTTGCAACACATCCTCTCATATTCCAAATCTTATGTTTTGTTATGATGCTCTTTGCAGGTACTTCAGTCTGCCTTGAAACACATGAGATTTTGTTACTAACCCCCTTATTCAGAAACGCTGTTTGACTTGAACTTGACTTGCCACCGGCTTCAATGCAGCACAAACGCGGTTCGAACGCGCTCTCTTTAGGCGGTGCCAAGGCAGCACAAACGCACTGCATTGAAGGCAGTTTAAGTCAAATTCAAGTCAAGGAGTGTTTCTGAATGTGGCGGTTAGTGTCGCATTTGTTGCTTTCCATTGCACAACGCAGAAACATTTTCAAAAGATGTAGGGAAAACGCACCTAGTGTTTGTCTCAAGCCTTTGGTGCCACTTCTGTTATGCAACGGAAGTTTCATGTGCTTTTCTGAGCTACTCTCAAGCCTCGATATAATGAATCCAGAAAAGTAATATCTCGTCATGTCGAAGTTGTAAAAACCAGGGAAAATGTTGAATAAAAAGATTTTCGAAATAAGCAAAGTTATGCTAATCGCCGGGAAGTCGAGCGCTTGTCATAAAAATCGCTACTACTTACTGGCGGCTGTTCCGCAGCAGGATCTAATCTTTCTCCTTGTGCAGGTTCAAAAGAGAAAATAATAACATAGAAGAGACTTTAACTGGCTGGTTTTTGCTGCGCTGCCATTTTATATAACAGAGAAAAACTGCAAAATGCTCGTCTGCTTTACAGTCGTACTCGGGCCTAGAAAGGCGTCCTCCAGCTGCTTGACGCATCACATCAGTCGATCTTCCCCGCCGCTGCACTAGACCTTATTTCAAAGCCATACCATCAACGCCGCTTCAACATCTGAAAACTTCGACCCTCAAACTCGCTTCCACTGGCTGAAGAAGCTGCTGAAATCCATCCAGCACCTTCTGCTTGTTTTTCAGCGCCGTCGAAAGCGTAGACACAGGGATGCCAAATTTCCGCGCGATGCTCGATTTCATTCGGCCTCCTTTCTCCACTTCCTTAATAATTATGGCAACCTTTCTTTTTTTCTAGTGTTAGCAACTTGCACTGCTTTGACGCCATGCTTGCTGCACTCATGCTATGTTGCCGCTCCTCACACTCAGCAAAAAATCCGTATTGCTTAGTTTGTGCATATGAATAGAAATCACACCTCAAGGAAAATCACAAGCACTGTGCTCACAGTCAGTGGAAAAAATCACAGCATATCTATGGAGTGAATGATGATTGGTGGGGCAAAGCGTTCGTCAGTCCGTCCATGCTTTCGTCTGCTCATTCGTTCTTGCTTCCGTCCGTCCATCCGTATGACCGTCGGTGCATCCGTCTTTTCGTGTGTCCCTCCATGCGTCCGTGCGTCTGTTCGTACAGCTGACCCTCTGTCTGTCTGTGCATCCGTCAGTACGTTCGTCCATCAATCTAGTGAATGCTCCGAGTACAGCCATCTCGCATCTTTTCATGATGTATGCATCATAAACAAGTGCCGCCAACCAGCGGACATTCTAAGGACCGCTCTTTCGGGTATGTGCCACCGGTGGCTACATACACCATTGGAGGATGGACAGACCCACACCCTAAGGAGCTTCGCCCCTAAAATCTGTGCCGCTTGGTTTGCGCAGATGAACGCAAATCACACCTCAGGGAAAATCATATGCACTGCACAAAGTGAACAAGACAAACTATGCCAAGTGTGGGCAGAGGGCCTCCTTGCTCAGTGCATGTGTCACATGACAGGCCACAGGGTTGCTTGACAAAGTTGATATGTCACTGGGCTGAGACTTTGCACACTTGGTGTTCGCAGAAAGCTTCGACGTAGTGGCAGGTGCGGCTAAGTTAGAAAAAAAAAATCTGCGGACTTCAGGCGTGGCAGCATCGCGCGAATCTTGTGAAATGGTACGGCGGCGGAAATCTCGTTCCACTCCCGGTCAAGACTTCGAGTTATCCACAATCTGATCGAAAAATACTTCGATGTAGAAGGAAAAATATACATGAGGCGTAAAGAAAAATGTTCCGTGCTGCCGATAATTTCGACTTGGCCGATTTTTTTTTAGATATGCAAGTTTGAGTTAACTAGGTATTATTGTATAATGAAATATTGGTTATAACAAAGTAAGTGAAGAACAGGCTTGCAATATAGTGCTAATAATGTACCTTCATAATAAATTTTCGGATATAAAGAACTTAATTTTCCAGTAGGATGCAGCTTTGTTATAATGAGGTTTAAGTTGATTTGTAAAGGCTTCTTGGTGAAGACATAGAGTAAACTTAGGGACAGCTATTTCAGAAAACTTAATCCTGTTTCTTTTTCTTCCTGCTGCCCCGGATGCCTGCTGCTGCATACAGAGAGCGGTGAGTAAAACGTTTCTTTTACAAGAGTTTCTTGGGTGTTGGTCTTCTATTATTGTGGCTGTGATGTTTTTGAGCTTATATGCCAGATATATGTTATACGAGAAATAGGCTGAATGTATTTTACATCATTTGTGGAGACCTTAGTCACTTACCATTTTGCTCCTAAAGATTACCTTCACACCACGGGTGTTCGATTTCTTGCAGGGACTTTGCCTATGTAGCCCGTGACAGTGGCACCCGGCGCTTCATGTGCCATGTCTTCCGATGCGACATGCCAGCACGCATCATTGCCAATGCCCTGCGAGATGTGTGCAAGAAGATGGTGCTGGAGCGGAGCCTGTCAGATCCATCTGGTGACAAACGGGCGGCACCAACAGAGCCTCCATCCAGGCGTGTGGGCTCTGCCCTGGACCGCCTCGCCAGCCTCTCAATGGGTGAGCAGTTGCTTTACAGCGAGGGCTGTTACGAGTTTACAACAGCCGATTTTAGTGGCGTAATTGTCGACTGTCACCACTGCTGCAAACACCAGTGCTGGCAGTGGACAACTACATCCATGAATTCATTATTGTGCACATAAAAAAATATATATATATACACACACACAGGATTGAATAGCATTTGAAAGCAGGCTCTTTGTGTGATAGTGTTCTGACACAGATACATAGTGGTGCTTCAAGTTCCTTCATAAAAAAGTACCACGGCGGGGAAGGAATCGCATTAACAGAATGTAGCAGGATAGAGAAAGTAATGGAACAACGGAAACCACACAATGCAAAATAGTGTAATCAGTGGGTGCTTTCAATTCGAAAAGAAAATTTTGTGAATCTGTAGCCTAGAGCAATGAAGCTCTTTTGCTTCATTTAGAGGGTTTTATGCAGATTTCAAATATGTGTGTTACGAATTTTGTAGTAATTTGTACAGTTTTGTTTTGTGCCATGACAAAGTGCAAAATTTAGTTCGTTCTAGGACAAACTTCTTATGCGAATTAAACTTTTATGGTTCTGAGCCATCAATGACTCATATTGCTCCTCATTAACTGTGCAATGCAAAGAACTATTAAGAAACTGTATAGAAAGCATTTTAATGGACAAGAAAAATTGTAATGACAAGAAAAATTAATTGCTTGCTCTAGCTTCATTATAATTATGGAGGCAATATCAAGTTTTATAGAAGATATTTGCACTCTCCACATGTTAAGGAACATCTGGGTGAAATTTCACCCTGATTTGGCTATTGGAAGTACCAAAAGCATGTCTAATCTCAAGAAGTTGTTCAAAAATGGATCTTGAAAAACGTATTTTGGAGGTATAAGTCAGAGCTCATCTGTGGGGGAAATATGTTTGTTTTAAATAATTTCTTCCATCATGAGAGCTTGGAAATCATTATTATTTTGAGCATGTGACTTTAGTGAGCTTCTCATGTGAAATGCAATGGCAAGCTGCCAGGTGACAATTTACAGGGGACTCCAGACAATCAGCTCTTATAAATTTTGATAGACACCTTGTGCTCAAAAAAGCAATTTTAACCTACTTTGAGTGGAAATACCATCTTAAGCTTTTTTGTTGTGAAAGTAGAGGAACCAAGCTTGTGAAATCAAATAAAAACAGAAAATGTATGAATTTGGACGTTTTTCGACTCGCATTCTCCCCTCAATGGGTTTCTGAAATAATTTTTCCAGATTCTGCTTTTGATTAGACCACTACTGGAGCAAATCACCGGCACCATAAATTCATCGAAAAATACCTTATTAATGGAGCTATGAGTAATTAATAGATACCCTCCTACTTCACTTTGTCTTTCACCCTCAACCACCTCAATTCTTCCTTCGAGTGCTCGGGGCTAAGCTCTGCTTTCACAAGGACTGCGGTGCGCTTTTTACAGCCAATATGATCAGCAGCCATGGTGACGTCAATGTGGCAGAGCATGTCGCTCTGTGAATTGGCAGCTGAAAACACATTTGGCAGAGTCGCAGCGATCTGCAGCTACAGTAAAACCTCGTTAATTCGAACTCGGTTATTTCGAAATCCTGCTTAATTCGAATATTTCCGCAGGTCTCGTATTTTAGAATGTAAGTTTGTGTTAATAATTTGAAGAGTCGGCCTGCACCAGTCCGGTTAATTCAAAAACTTTGGGTGCCATGTGCCAGTTCCAAATCCCGACTTCGCCGCGAATCCGCGGAACGACCGCTATTAATAGCCACAAGGCAATGCAACGTATCGATACTAGCGAGTGGCATCTGAAGCACCCCAGCCTCGCTACTTCCAGTGCAAAAAGGAAAAAAGAAAAGAAGAAAGAACGGTCTCGTCAACCAAAACGTGCGCCTGCGGAAAACAAGCTATGCTTCACTACAGCACAGTGGTGACACGCGGGCAGCTTATTGCATGTTTCTTGCAACGTCAGCGGGTAATGGTTTACCCATTCTTTCTGGAATTGTTAAGAAGTTAATAAAGGACAGTTTAGCGAAAATTGCGATGTATGCGAACATTCGATTGCCGGTTGCTCCTACAATTCGCGTCTTTGCACTGCTGGCGGAGTTCTTGCCAGCAACGCCTACTTCGAAAACTAAGTCTGAAAATTTCAAAGATCATTTTTTCCAGCCAAAACACATCGTGAGCTTCATCATACAGGCCATTATTAAATTCATAATTATAATAGAAAGAATGTGCGAATGGTCGCATTGTGACGGGCTGACGTAGCGAAAAGCAGGCGACTTGCTGCCCGCATGTCACAACTGTGTTGCAGTGAAGATGTCTTGTTTTCTGCAAGCGTACATTTCAGTCGATCATGATCACTTTTTTTTTTTTTTGTGGCAGCAGCAAGGTTCACCGTTCCTCCATGTTTGCGACAAAATAAAGACCAGGTATTGCTGTAAAACATGACTTTTGGAGCCGCAAGCTAGTCGGCACAGCAAACGACGAGCATTGATTACTTTGAATAGTTCTAAGTTCATTGCATCCCACTTCTTGTATGTTCTGTTATTTCGAAAACCCGCCTAATTCTAAGCTTTCTCGCAGCCCCAGTGACTTCGAATTACCGAGGTTTTACTGTATTTACAGTTTTAAGGGTTGTAACAAATTACACAGTTTACGCAGAGAGCTCAAATTAACTTGTAGATGTCCCATGGCACTTAAACTACTAGCCCATTGCGTTTGTACAAAATCATCAGAACCGTTTCGTGGTCCCTTTAGAGCTTCCTACCAATTAGAAAGAGCTCAGCCATAATTCCCCATCGTCATTAGCCACAGCATCAGCAGAGTGCTCATAATGCTTTAACGATGCATAACACTCTACTTCTCCAAAAAATATTGAAAAATGGCACAGTTGGTGCATCCATACTTTGCAAAATTATGATGATTCATGGCATAATGGGGTACTTTGCAATTGCGCTTGTAGCAGTTGCCCCAAGAGAGTTAACGATGGGCCCTGGAGAAGCTCCAGCTTTCGCTTCGACTGTGCTGCATGCTTCGAGCAGGCCTGGCATGTTTTGTCCTCTTCCACATGGGCACCAAATGGATACACTAAGCCAGTTCAATGTGATATATTATTCCCCGGGAACTGTTTTGTTAATGTTGTCGTCAGAGATTCATCACCAGGAGAGAAAATGAAGTTAAAAGATTACTTTTCTTTTTTTAATTTTGCATCATAACTGCAGTGCATTAATCTCAGTGTGATGTCACTGGCTTCGGTTTTTTGTTTTATTATTTTTTCTATTTTTCTTAGGTGGGCTCAATAAATTTTTTGAAACGGTGTTAGGTCTGTGGCTCCCTTAACATATAGTGCAGTTAATTTTTGCCGAATCAAAGAACTAAGTAGGCCCTAGCAGATGCCGTCATTTCCACGCAAGTCTGTGTGGGAAACTTTCAGTGTGGTGTTGTCACCTGTAGACTTTTACTGCCTATTTTCTGTCTTGCCGATAGTCTTATCCCAGCGAGAGTAGCGCTTTCGGTATTGTGAGAGGGTGATTTACGAATGTGAGAGAAGTTGTTTTTCTCTGTAGTGTCTCAAGGCAGACATGATAAAACAGTGAGCGAGTCTGTAGGTATTCATTACACTATTGCGAATAGCCAATTTCAGGTGTGAAGGGAATTCGAAGCTTAGTGATTTGGCCAAATAACTTTTAATTGAAGTAAGATAATATATATATAACACATTATAAAGAGAAATGAGCATATCTGTCATGACCACAAGTAACCTGCACAATATATGAAGGCATGTGCAAAGGTCATTCTTTCTGGTTCAAGAAAAGCGGAAGCAACTTCGAATTGTAGAAGGATGTGAGTTTCAGTAGGATTCAAGTGACATCCTGCAAAATATGTTACATTTCAGAATTTAAAATTCCTAGCATATAAGCCAGTTTAAGAAACTTTTAAACTTTTTTTTTTTCAGGGATCAATTGATATGAGGGTAATATGTATCCTTGAAATGAAACTCACGACAGTGCCAATTTTTTCTGTATAGTTGTATTCATGGTATAGCACGGATATACTGCAGTGAAACGATCTTTACAAGTGGGTTACATGCGGACTAATAATACACAACTATTTCTTCATTTTGAATTCTTCGAAATTTACAATAATTTAAACTATAATCAAAGCACTCTAATATTTTCACAGGCCGAGTATACATGTTAGGGTGTGTAGCACTTCGTGAAAAATGTAAGCTGGCGAAGAAGAGTAAAGAGGATGGGCTAAGTGTCACTGGGCAATAAATTAGAGAAACAGGCATCATGAAGAAAAATAATTGCTCTGGACAAGCAGTAATTCAGTTCCTGTCACGACGTGCATGATGCGTACTGCGGGGTTCAAACGTAGGTTTATTTGTGTTTGTTGTGTTTTCAAATGGTATTTGTATGGGCCGTTATAATAATTCTTGCTCCATCGATGGTGTGCTTGTGGGCGTTCAGCCGTTAATGATATGATCATCTGATCTTTTATCGAGACTTGTCACTTCAAGTTCTTGCATTTCATTTTTGCATTTCGTGTTCCACGCGTGACTTTCGTTGTTGACTGTAGCAACAGAAACTTTGTGCTGCTATGCGCGTAGATGGAGGTCTGATTCCTGGTATGGAGGAAGAAGAAAAGATTAAGAGAGAATGTTGCAAAATGTGGTAGAAAGAAAGAAAACTAGTACATCAGGCATGCACACACCAAGCTTTCTTTGACCCCCTTTCCCCATTTCCCCTATAGGGCAGGGATCTAGAATTTATTTGCGTGAGGTTCTCTGCTGCTCCGTTTCAGAGGACGGTGTGGAGGGGGGCCTCCTGCGGCCCATGGAGGAGCCGCGCAAGGTGCTGCGGGCCCTGTACCTGGGCAGCATGCCTGTGGCGGCAGCCTCCGGCATCGACCTGCTCAACGGGGCCATTGACACCCTGCTCGACCGCGTACCTCGCGCACACTGGCTGCCCGTACAGGTGCGCTACATTTTGGGGTGTGTCTCAGTTCATTGGCAGTGGTGTTTTGTTGGGAAACATTTTATTTATTGTGCAACTGATCCTGCAGTCAATGTTGTCAGAGCCACTGCCTTAGCCGGAGGCTGTTCCTCATTAGTGGCCTATTGTGCAAGATGTGAAAGCTTGCAGCTGCTGAATGCATGATGAACGGCCTCTCGACGACCCCTCTAAAAGTCTTGTGATGAAGACTATGAATGAAACCGGTATAAGCAGTACGGATTTTGAATGGAGAGGGCTTTGACATTGTCATAACTTGTAGTTCTGTAGGGCCTCTATAGTATTGCCTGTTTGTGTAAATGCTGTTATTTTATAGTTAATATTTGTTTCAAGCATTTTGCCCAATCATTTATAACTTTTCGGAAACAGGTGGTGACACTAGGCTGTTACTTGTCGAGGTGTTCCTTTCCAAGTTCTGGGACAAAACCGTGCAAAGCCTGATTGAACCTCGCATTTGAGCTAGCACGAAACTTTTCCAAGCAGCACTTAAGTCATTGCGAGTTTGTCGAGAGCAATGTGGTGTCCCTCCTGGCAGGTGGCAGTGGCCCCTTCGACAGTGACGGTGACATTGGATCCGGCAGGCGGCGGGCGTGGCCAAGTGCTGGCCGAGTGTCGTGTTCGGTTCCTCTCGTTCCTCGGCATTGGCAAGGAAGTCACGTGAGTTGAAGTTCGTGTGCAGAAAACTGCGAACTCGAGAAAAAATTTTACATTTGAAGCTCCTAACATAAACACAGAGCTTAATGGAGGTTGTTAGGAACCTATACTTAGTTTCATACATCAGGTGCAATGCTATGAAAGTTAGCGAAACTTTTTCCTGTAGTTTCATACATCAGGTGCAACGCTATGAAAGTTAGCGAAACTTTTTCCTGTAGTCGGGTTTGCACCAAGAGATAGTTCAATGATTTTAACACCTGTAATGTTGTTTCTTGGGGGTTTTTAGATTAAGTAATAAACAAAGTTGCTTTGTAAATAATTAAACCCTATTTGTTATACGGTTTTCAATAGGTTATTCTGAATCTTTTAACATCTCTCTTTTTTCGTATCATGGCCTCCACAATTACCTGTAGCGCGCAGCCGGAGCCAGTCACAGCACGCAACTGATTATGGCTCGAAGATCTGGGCAACTTGCTTCGGTTCGGATCCAAGTGAAACGCGCGTGGGCTTACACATTTTGCTGATGCAATCTATAGTTGCATAGATCCCAAAGTGTTACACCTGATGTATGAAATAAAGTGGAATTAGGTAACATTTACCTCTTCAATAAGCACATGCCTAGATGCAAAAAAGTCTAACCTTCTGCTGCGACTCAGCTCTTGTTTAGTGTCACCTGTCTTTTGAATTGTTTTAGATGTGTGCTTGTTTAGCCTGCATTGAAGACACTGACCTGCTCTGCATTGACTGGTAAGCATTGATGAGATTATAATGAGATTGGAAGGTTAGGATCTAAATTATCCTGACTGCTGATTGGAAAGTTTTTATTTTATTCTTCAGTATTGCAATGGAAGTAGCTATTTGGACATATTTGTGGATTATTTGTCATTGTCAAATGTGCTAATAATTTTTTAGTACACCATCCTTAATGTGTCTGTAAACAACAAGGTGAATTGATGCAAGCTTTAAGGGGAGACGCTCCTCGAAAAAGTTTTTTTTTTATTTCTAGTAATAGAGACTTGAAAAGTTTGTTATTAGTATAGTTTTTCATGCAGATTTCAAATATGCAATCATTTTTTGTGTAGCTGCTATAATTATTGAGTTATGCCATAAACAATAGCAAAAAGTTACATTTTTTGCAGGCACTCTTTTATGTACTAAACTTTCAGTAAAAGCACTGTGTCTGATCTTATTTGGCTCTTGGTAGATTGAAAAGTGCAAATATCTATATAGATATGTCACAGAAATATTGGAACCAAGAAAAAAAAAATTGTATTGAATGACTTATTGTTTTCAATCTCCCTTGAAACAATAAGCTAATATTTTCACAACTAATGCTGGTAGGCATTGCAATTTAGAGTAGATATTTGCATTCTGCATGTGTTGAAGAATGTGTGTGCCAAGTTTCGTTACTATACAATGAACATAAGTTTCTAAAAGGCTGCCCGGAAAACGTGAAACTGTCAGAAAAAATGAAAATGAGAAAAACAAGTTTGAAAGTTCGCAAAGTTGGCATTTATTAGGAAATCATTCTTTTTGCATAAAATTGGGGCACAATGAAAAGTACCTTGCCTTGAATGCACTGCAAGTGTCTAGAAGTCCCCTGCACCATAGCTTGGTCCTTCACGGCTCTTGCGGTCAGTGTCCTCAACACGAGCTCTCTTCGCTGTGTTGCGACGGTGTGCCCTCGCTTCTGCAGTTTGCTTCAGGTTCATCTTCCTGATGCGCATGACGTCACAGTGGTCACCATGTGTGGCCAGATCTTGTGAGGGGAGAATTCCAATGCCTTCGAGCACTTCTTCAAAGCCCCTGTGGCCTTTGTTGTACCAGAGTACAGCAAGAGCGGTGGCTGTCTCCACAGTTGTTCTGGAGGCGAACTTTGTTTTTGGACATAGAAGCCATATCTTGCTGTTCGGCGATTCGGCTGCATTCTGTGTCTTGCCATGAAGGCACCAAATAAGGAGTTTCTCCTCTGTAAGGCGCTTGTAGATAGGCATAATTGCCAATCCTTGAGCCTTCGTCAACAGTGGGGTGTGGCGTGGTGCAGGCTCCCCCAGTGCTTCCGCACGCTTGTGCTTGCACCACGAATTTGGTCCCGCGGGGCAAAAGTTGTGGCTACTGGCACCATCACTGGAGCAGCAATGAAAATACGATGCCCATATGGCAGTGTACATATTTCGGACACTGTCCTTGTTGCTCGTGATGGCGATCTTGTAATATGTTTGTAGTTTTATTATTGTCGCATCTTTCAGTTTTTCGCCTCGTGGCAGTGGCGTTGCCAATTTCCGTAGGGCAGTTCCCAAGCGCTTTGCAACGTGGTTCGTGCACTCTTCTTTGTCAATGGGGGTGTCACAGTATACATTTGCCTCACAGACTGCAGTGTAGGCCTTGCTGTCACCATCACTTAGGAAGCTGGTGAATCGCAGTGGAGTTTCATAAGACAAGGTCCTCTGCCATATATTGACAGCTGCCGCAGGTTCCATTGCATGGGATGAGCAGTCAGTGTTTTTTTGGCAAACTGGAAGATGAAAAGCTCGCCATATCTCTTCATCCTCCCCAAGGTCCCTGTGTATACTGCAAGCATGGCAGTAGTTCGAAAGAACTTCAAAATCGAGGCAGAGCCCCGTGTCCAGGGACACGACTGTGCCCACTCCATTGTGGCTTTTATGACCTCTTTTCTGCCAGGTGCCATCAAACATGACTGGCACATCTCTGCCGCCGACTGCGTCCTTCGTGATGTTTCGTGCCTGGTGCAAGTTTTTGCTCACTGCCGTCATCGCCGCACCATGGAGCTTCTTGCAAATGCCGTTGAATGTCTTGTGATGCATCGGGCTCGGAAGACCGAGAATCGCACAAAATCGTGAAAGTTGGTCGTGGCCTGCGCCTATAGCGCGTGCTGCCAGTACTGCCTTCACGTTTACAGCAAAGCTGTCACGCGAGCTGCCGCTGTCAAAACGAGCGCTCGTTCCTTGGTCCCCGGCCGAAGCAGTACGTCTCGACGTATGCGTGAACGAAAGTGCAGATTCAGGGCAATCAGAATTTTGACAGCACAGTTCGAGGAATGCCGAAAGTCCTTTGCGCTTTCCAGCTGCCTCTCGCACGCCGAGCTTCCGTTCGCGGCAGGTTGGGCATTGCGCACCCACCACAAGTGCCGTCAGCGCATCGATTTCGCAAAGCAGCATGTTCGCAGTAGCAGCATCGACCGGTCTACGTTCACTCTCGAAGAATCCAATCTTCCTTTGGGATGCACTGACGAATTCCACGGCAGCAGCTATTTCACAACCACTGTCGCAGGGTTCGGTGACGGTGTTAGGCCTATCCGAAGTCGGAGCGTCAGGGCGTTGGTCGGGGGCGACATCGTCGTTCGCTGTCGCTTTGCGAAGCGTCCGACGCCGTTTCCCTCGATACTTGTGGCGAGTTCTGAACTTTCGATTATCTGAACTGCACTTCTGCAGGCTTGCCTTGACGCAAAAATGCAGAGAAACGCAGAAAAACTCGATCGCGACGTCCGAGGCTTCGCTCTTTTGCCGGAGAGATAGGAGGGGGAGGAGCGTGGAGCGCACCGCCGTCCAATGGCGGCCTCGCGCTGTGTGCCGCGATATTCAAAACGCGTGACGTACGCGTTGTTTTTCTCATTTTTTGTTTATTCTGCGTGAAGGCACGAGACTGGCTACTAGTGGATTATGAAGGATACGGCCTTCGCAGCATGCGTGCACGATTGCAAATGGCGGCCAACGCGTCGTTTTCGCGACAGGACGACGCGAACTTCGCCGTTTTTCGCGACTTTCGCGCATTTCTCGCGTCACCGCTGCCCACTTGGAAGCATTTTTTGATAATTTCTCGTGCGAATTTCAGCTTGATATTTTCAGAAGTAATAGATTATAGTCCAAGGATGCCAATACAGCCGGGAAAAAAAGAGCAAAAATTTTCCGGAAAACCGCGACTTTTCGACCCGCGTCTCCCTTTAAACTAGTTTTTGATGTTCGCCTTCATAGGCACTACCACGCATATCCAACTAACCCAACTTTCGATTCTGTTGCAATTCGTAGCCACTCACACAAAGTTTGCAGAATTGCAAGGCTTCACCTATGGGGCAATGTAGTGTGGCCCTCCACATTGCACTGCCACACATTTTTAAACTTACTTTTACCAGTACTGTAAATACATCTGTCTTTGTCAATTTGAATTTTGCTTGCATTGGTTAATTGGAGTTACCTTCTCTCAGAAATGCAAAAAATGTTTTTGAAATTTGTTCATAAATTGACTGCCAATAGCACAAGTCAAATTATATTGAGTGTGGAAGCAAAAGTTCACTCCCAAGCTAGTTTCTAAAAGGACATGAGATTAAAGGAAAAAAACAAGTTGAGCCAGGTTGAAATGTGAAGCTTATGTAGTATGAATACGTGGTTCATAGCGAGGACAGAACTGTTCGTGAGTCAGAAAATTACGATAGTAAACAGCAGCAGTTTAGTGTGGTGTTGCTTTGTTGTGGAATATGTAACATCACCTTCGATCTCTAGCCGCTGCCGCTATATTTCGAAAAGTTTAAAATTAAAAAAATAAAGAAAAACACCCAAATGCTTGTATTTATGTGGCCATCAAAGATGTGCATGCTCATAAAATTAATCCAAATTTTCTCCTCTCTACAGTCAGGCTTACCTATTTTTTTTTAACTTCACTTATAGATTAAAGCATGGTAACTGAAAATTAGCTGATTTTTAAAGGTTTTTTTTTTTTTTTTTTTTTTTTTGGTGGGACATTTCGTCTCTGTCGGTTTGTTCGTGCAACTCTCGTTTCCCACTGGCGGTATATATAACAAGGCAGTGGCATCACAGAGTTTCAGTAGTCTGAAATTTTTAATGAATTAATTCTGAAGATACCACTGTCAGGGTCTCATCTGCAGCCATGTCTGTAAACCTCATCAGCTATGTACTGTGCACATTCGTACTTAACGAACACTTGGTACTTGCTCGTGTGCGAACAGCCCACCTGAAACTTGCAGAAGCAACACAGCGACAACCATGAGGCTGTGTCACAGCACAGGCTTCGAAAAGGTGGCACCCTGAGGGGCAGTGGTGACAGTGAGCTCACAGTGCTGCTGTCGGTTCGCAGGAATTGCGGGTTCATCGTGCACACGGCCCAGGACCAATTTGAGGCGCATGTGCTTCATTGCGAGCCATCTGCGGGTGCACTGTGCAAGACTATTGAGGCAGCATGCAAACTTCGCTACCAGAAGTGCCTCGATGCACACCGGCAAGCCAACAACTCTCCACCTCCCCAGCAGCAGCCCACCAAGGTGTGTAATTTTCTCTGGGGTAGTGGATGGTTGCCCCGACGGCTTCTTGCCTAGAAAGATCCACAGCTCTACATCGTTTGCTTTGCCTTCTCACAACACGAAATAAGGAAAACTGTGCTTCCCTAGACATGACGCCTTAGCTAGCATGCGAGGGTTTATTGGTCAGCCGCAATCGTGTACAGAGATCACGTGCCACCTGATGGCCTATGACAAAAATAGTGTTCCACACTTGCCATCTTGGCTATCAGTGGTGCTGGCTAACATTTCCAGTGATTAAATGCACATGGATATCCCTCAAAATGGACGAGGAAGTGCCCTCCATCGTAGTTAAGTTGGTAGAGCATCGGACACGTAAATCGAAAGTTTTGAATTCAGATTCCCCCTTGCGGAAAGGGCGACTTTTCGTCCACTGTAATCCCTCTCAATTTAGGTGATAATCACTTCAGTTACATGATACAATGAAAAATATCCTCTATGCTAACCTGGTTTAATTGTCTTTTGGTTTAATTAGTCATTCTTACAACATGGTGGCACAGAGCAGCTGTCATCGGAGACGTGCATATGATCTGACCGAAGGCATTCTGAAGCATTGAAGTAGCTGCTAGTTGTAAGTGCGCAACCAAGTGCTCAGCTTAGTGTGGGCATCCACTGCAGGCACTATCATCACTCAAGGGAGTCCTGGGCAGCATCGTGGGCCGCGCCATGGGAGTCGTGCAACAAGTCTCCTGAAGCCCAGCTGCACTTGAAGACCATTTTTGTTTTAGCTCCGAGTTGAGCGTTCACCGTTTCTTTTGGCCCAGTTGCCCGAGCAGGCATGTGTCCTAGTGTGCTCGCTGTCTTGTGACAAAGGTTTTCTCTGTGCTGCTGGGTCGGCCTTTTGTAAATTCATTTATTTTACGATTCCTTTTTAAACGTGACATCAAAGATCGGGCAGCTAGCCGCAGTGCAGCTGTCATGGCCGTTTGGCATTGACGAGAGCGTGGGAGTTGACCGGGGCAGAAGGCAATAGCAATATTGCACAGCTGGCGTATGTATTACTGTGGTGTCTCTTGTAGCTTTAGACGCTTTATCAAATGTTGAACTCGCAACGTGCACCGCCTTGCTTGTGGCTTTTGGCCGTACAGTCGTACTACGATATGCAAAAGACAAGCATTCCAGATCACGTGACTCTCGCATCCAGGCATGACAGCTGTCAAGGTCTTCAATACAAGCTAGCACGCTGCCTGTGTGCATCTAACTTAGGATTGTTGCTGTCAAAAGCTGCACGCCGGGCTCGGGCTTATCGTCTGTTATACTTCCTCACAAAGTGTCGACATACGTGACATTGGGCTTATGTGATTCAGTCCTTTATTTATTCATTTTTTTCTCACACCTCGGTGCCATTGGGACCAGCTAACTCTTAGCTCGCTTCTTGGCAGTTGGCGATTTTGTACCCTGCCTCCCAATTTTTATGCAATGCTGTGGAAACTGTCGAGTGTGATGTAGTCCTCCTTTTCTTTTTTTCCTGCGCCTTAACGTTTTGTATTCAAAACTCTTGCCAGGCATTTCTCATACAGCGTACGGTAGGTTGTCTGTTGCAGTAGTGCCAGTCACTACTCATCTGTAAAATGGGAAGATTGTTTAATGCTGAACTACCAGACTAAACAGTTGGATGTTGGATGAACCCTGGGATACTTCAAAAATGTATGTTTAAGCTGGGCGATATTTCAGCTGCAGATTGTCGCTTATGATTTATGACAACTTTTTCTACGTCAGAAGCTCCAAGAAAGTGGGTGAGGTTACCTCAGAGATATAAAAACACACATAGCATTGACTCATGGTACACTTCCTTCGCGCCTTATACCTTGGATCATGCGCTAGAACATGCCTTCTTGTCCAACCTAGCTAAGCTAGAACTTTGAGAACGGCAGCTTCTGTATTTTTACGATGATAGCCTTTGTATACCTAAGTTAAACTTGTGTATAAAGGCTCTGAGCACTGTTTCTGCAACATTGCATAGTTCTGCTGAGGCAAAGCTTATTGTTTTGAATGAGTGTTACATTCTTGGTTTGTTTAATTTCCCCAAATTGGTAGGTGGGTACTTGTTTGTTACACAGTGCTGTTTGATGGTGTGGATTTTAAAAGGATGCTAAACAGAAAAAAAAATTGAAGTACAGCTCAATTGATGAAGTGATACCATGAATTTAAAAAATGCATCATTTTTGCCGAGGGCTGAGCGTGAAAAGAAATAGAAATCTGCGTGCAAAAAAGAAAAGAAACAGCAGTCTATAGAGTTTGGAAAGGTAAAACCATCTCCCAGTGATGTGTCTGGTACAGGCAGTGGACTTGTAAAACCAGTGCACAATTGTCATATAAGAAAAAGGAAGTTATACTTCACATCAAAATGAAAGATCATGAAACTTGCCCGGTGGTGATGTAAATTATCCTGGTGTGGTAAATTTGGACGAATGTCATAATTGCAACCCAAATTATGTGCTACTTTTAAGCAGGAAAGAAACCTGTTTCTCGAAAGCTATCGGTGCATCCAACACGGTAGCTCGCTGATGTGTTCTTTTTCCAGCACTCTGTTGAGACACATTTGGTCTACGTGGATGGGGGCTCACTGTGCAATATACTTAATATGGCCTCAGAAATGATCACTGCTCAGTAGGATTTTTGTAGGACCCATTACTAATATCCAATTTAACAAATGTTAAGGAAGAGGTGTGCAACCGGCGTTTGTGATTTCCTCCGGAATATGTTGTAGTTCCTGAGCACAATGCTGACATTGAGTGCTGGAGCTAACGTTGCGTTTCGGTCATCCTGTTTCAGTCATTAAAAAAGCAAAGCAACTTGCGGGCCATGACCTACAGTTGCAACCAGAGTTAATATTCACCGTTGCTTTGGAGGATCTTCACGCATTGCATATGCCAGCCTTACGTTGCACCATAGTTACTGATAAGCCATCGCTTACCTTGTAAGAGACATCGATGAGCTCAACATGATGAGGTCGTGCTTTTGAGCATTGCACAAGTGTCTTGTTTGCCATTTTGTTTAACTGATTGATAAATTGAACGCCTATGATACACTGTACTCGTTGCATGTACCAAGAGAAACTTGTACCTTGTCGTTGTCCATTTAGAAATACTGCGTCCACTCCTAGCCATCTGCTTTTTTATTTTTCGCTCATTAGAGGCAGGAGCTTTTGTGTGTGTTTGCTTGAACAAACATGTCTACATAGCAGCTGACTCAGTCCGAACAGACAAGAATCTATTTTTTTCTTGGTCACACATTGGCAGCTATGTGCGCTCCTGAGCCTTTTTCTAGGAGAATAATTGTTTTGTCATGAAAGTTCTTTTAATTTTTAATCTATTGTACAGAAAGGTTCTTGTTGTCTGCAAGAAAGAAAAAAAGAAAGAAGGAAGAAATAAAGCCTCTTTACAAGTGTGTACTTCTGACTAATATTCTAATTATGTAGTTGCCGGTTGAACATTGCACCATCACCTGGTGTGCATAAACTTTAGCTGCAACACACTTACATGTAGCATAAAACAATGAGTCTTACTGACCACGGACATTACGTTCTTTTGTGATTGCACTTATAAATGTAGAATCTAAACGATGGTTTTATGCTTTAATAGAAAGGTGTAGCTTGTATCATGCTCAGTTTTTTTAATTCAAATAAATGTGAAATGCGCAGATGAAGAGGTTCCTTTTGTTGTCCTGCACTGCCACAAGAAAGGCACTTTACTGCTGTTGGTTTCATCAAAAGGCCTATGCTGTGCATGTGTTATTTTGATGAGCATGCAAACATTGTCAATCTGATAGTGTAACAAGATAGAACATCTTTATTGAGAAAAACAAGTCGCTACAATATTCGAATCACAGCCAACATGTTCTTCCACGCAATTCGGCACACTGCCAGCCTGTTGCCAGCATCTCCAGAGTGAGCGTGGCACTGCAAGGGCAAAGTGCGCCGCACAACAGCTTCATCTTTGGCACGTGACGAGCTTCGCTCGGATGTGCGTAGGGCCCGAAAGAACACTTTGTAAATGTCCGTCCGTTGCCTTCAGAAGCAACAATTTGATGATACAGTTCGTCGTCTATGTAGGCAGCCTCCACAACCGACGACGATGCACTTTTCGTTGAGTGGCCGACCTATGATTGAAGGAAACGTAGATCTAGCAGCCGTGAACTTCGGCGAGCCAGCTGTCAAAGTTTGCACGCTGAATGGGAGTTTGGATCATCATCTGCTGCTGCTGTAGTTGCTGTTGCGGCTGTTGCTGCTGTGGCCATTGCTGCGGCCACAGTTGCTGCTGCTCATCTGGCCGGAAGCGCTTGGCTTCACCGGGCGATGGAGGTGCCACTGGTAGGGCGCGCTTGTGTCCACAGCGGAACAGCCTGCACAGGTGGTAATGCAATGTCAATGAACAGGTGCAGCCACAAAAAAAGGAAAGTGTTTGGTGGCTGAACAGATATTACTTTACACGTGTTACATGTGCGACAAAAGAAGGAAATTTTATGTTCAAGGGGCTTCTTGATGTGCTAAACACAACAAAATGAAATAGATGATTAAGCTGAGGAAGCATATAGGACATCTATGGTCCCTAAAGGGGCCATGCAACACTTTCTCGGTAATCATCAAATGGCTTCATTAAAAGAGTTCATTAGCTCTGAAATCGACTGCTGCGACAGTAAAAAGAAAACTTTTTCTTATTGCTAAGTTACTCTTTTATGATGCCAAAAACGCCTTGCACGCCGTGACAAGACGATTGGTAAGCGAGAAAACGACCAAAAAGAAATTGCTGGTGCTAGGTTCCCACACCAAATACCTGACATCATAAGCTTTGGCAGTTTCTGCTAGGTTGTACGAACTTGCTAATCAGTAGAAAATTAAGTCCATTGTCATCTAAGGAGGCTGTGGACTTGACATACTAAATTTCAGGAAATTTATTTGAGCCACAGACCTGAAAATACATAAATTTATGAATTTATACAAGTTTCCCAACAAACATTTGTACATATGTTTGTATTGTTTATATTAAAAAAAAAAACATGAACAGATGGGATAAGGGCTTAACTACATTTCATTCCAACATAAGCGATAGTGGAACATAGTATTTTTACTAAAATTTTGTGTGCGAAAATAGTGTGAAATACGGGCTGTTAAATTGATGTCATGGGCACCGTGACTTCGGCAAAGAAATTCGTGAAGGAACGTGCATTGATTATCTGATATGTACAGATATCTGGCTGTATGAATTACTTGGTGGTTCTTGTTTCATGAAAGTGAAGGTTGGGAAATTCGCGCATAAAGCTGAAATGTACATGCCTGCGAGAAGAAGAGAGAGAGTGATAGAAGAAAGAAAATAAATGAAGTGAGAGAACGCAGAAGCGAAGAGGTTGGACCCCTTAAAATATCCGCAGATATCCGGTACCGGCTAAGGTGAACTGATCGGTATTGAATGCGTCACTCAGCATGATAAACTGGTATTGCTTTAACGTAGCTCTCTTTGAGCGTGAAGAACAGGCAAGACAGGAGAGAAAAAAAAAAGACGACAGTATCAGCCCAGTTAGCAGTACTTGTCACTTAGCAGCACCGGCTCGCCATGGAAACCAAAAAGAACGTTTATACGTGAGACGTAAATATAAAATAGGGGGTTTTAGAAGAGCGCACCGCGAGCCCTTGCGATGCGGTCGCTGCCACTGCGCATGCGTCGTAACGCGAGTCGCCGTTCGCGGCCCGCAAGCGCTGGTTTCGAGGCTACAGAGTCGCTGCGATTGTGCGTTGCGGTTTGCAGGAGGGCAAACTCGTATGGCGCCCGCTATGCCGGCGACGTTCGCAGCGCCTGCAAAAGTGATTCTAGAGCTAATAAGTAAATTGGCGGATCGCGCACTACAATAGACAAGCAGTAGCAGCGCGCCTACATTAGTTGGTTTTGAGCATGAATATCAAGTATCACTGCCTTATTTTCAAATTTATGCTAAAGTACCTAAATATTTGAACTACCAGCAAAAACATTGCTTATGAGTTTTTTTATTTGTAATGTTATGCCGGCAACAGAAGCCGGCAACTTTCCGGGCATTTCAAGTTTTCCGCAATAAAAAACAATTGTATACGTGACTCGGCAATTGCTAATTGCCGCTTAATTGTAACTCGATGCATAAAAAGTGAGAACGCTTACCTGTTATCGTTGCCTGGTGCGCCTACTGGCCTCTGCAGAAGGTCGCGTTCGAACCAGTCGGCATCCATAGCATCCATGGTAGAAGCGTCTGTTCCAAAGCCGGAGTCCGAAGCGATGTGCACACAGTACGGGAGCTCGCGCGCGTCTAAGCGAATCGGCAAGGCCTTTCACTTTTAGCGCAGTTGGACTGTGTTCCTGCGGAAAATAAAGAAAGCGCTAACGTCACCGCGGCTTTACGACATGGTCACGAACGAAAATTCTCTCATACACCCGTCTCGAAGAAAAAATAGAGGCTCCTCAAGGTTACGAAGAGCCGCATCCGACTTAGCAGACGACGCGGCGCATTCGTAGCAGACGACGCAAATTGGCGCGCGCGTTTTGGCGGCGGCCGCCAGAGAACGCCACGCTGAATCAAAGGGCGCAAGCGAAGCGGCGCGCGGAATTTTCCACGGCCGGCACAGGCGGGAGAGCATATGCAACTTTCTTTTCCGCGCTCGCTTTCTTTCGCTCTCTTTCGAAGAACAGAAAGTGAAAAGACGCCGAGAGTAGGGCAGCAACAAACGGGGAGTGGAAGGTGCACGCTTTCTTTTTCTCCCTCGTTCATTTGCAGCGAAGAAAATGAATTGGACACGCACGTGTTATGTGGCGAAGCGTGAAGTCCACTGCCGGGCACTCTTTCCATCTCTACTCCATCGATTCTCAATAGCGGCGCATAAAATTACACCTTACGGCCTAATTTGTTCGAGTCTCATGAAAAAAAATCGATTTAGATGACCTCGCGCTATATGGCCGCTCAATGTGCGAACAAGCGTGTGCGTGCAAGCAACGTGATTTCTTGATATGCAGAGAAGCGGCAACGAGTACCTGGGATGCAAGAACCGTAGGTTTTTTTTCTTGGCTGCAGCGCTATCTTCAACGAAGGCAGGAACTGTCCGAGGTGGCGGAAACGCGTGCACAGCGAGTTACCCGTGTCCTACTGATCGGCTTTTCCGTTGGCCTCTGCACGCTGGTGGCGCGGGCGCATCGGATGCATGTTGGAACACCTAGCGTTCACGGGAAGAACTATGCGCGCACAGGCCGGCCGGTTTGGCACCTTTCCAGGTCCCATAGACAATGCACGGCTCTTGATATTCGATCATTCCGTTTTCACTTTTTAGTCGGGCATGTCTATTTTTTTATGCGACTGAGAGATGTTATTACAACAAAAATAATAATTAATAACAATAAAGCATCTTTTGTGCAAGGTGAGCAGTTAAAAAGTAACAAACATGAAGTGAGGAGGAGGATGGATAAACAATGGCGAGCATGGACAGTTCAGTCGCCGTGTTTTTAGGATTTCTAAAATTAGAAAGCTGACGTGGAAGCATATGGCGCCATAGAGACTGATGTTTGTGTGAAATTCCGCGCGTCACGTTTCTCGTGAACCGGTCCCAAAAAAAAGCTGCACGTGCTTGCTTGCCTAAATATTTCGTTCTGCCGATCGGCTGTGTACTACGGCATTACTTCAATTCAGTATCGTGTCGCTTAATCTTGCGGCTTTCGATTCATCTGCTCTTGTGATTTTTTTCTCCTCTCTTATGATCAAGGACGAACTGTTTTTCTTTTCTTGTTTTTCCCCACCCCTCGTGATCCTGCCAGTGTTGCCACGCTTTTAGCGTAACTGCCGTCTTCGCACAAATGAAAGTATAGTGATAACAAATAAAGCCATTCTGATAATCAGTTCTCCTAGAGGAGCAGTTTCTCGAGGCCGCTGCGATGACGTTCGTTCGGAGCGAGTGGAGGTCAGAGGAACTCTTCCATTTCAAATCTGAATGGCTAAGTCCCAAGGCTGTCTCGCATTGAGCGCCGATTGTGTATTCCGGTACATGGTGTTGCCGCATTTCTGATATATAAAATTTGCGTTCACACACACACACACACACACACACACACACACACACACACACACACACACACACACACACACACACACACACACACACACACACACACACACACACAAAACATAACCTTAAGTGACTCGTAACGAGGTAATGCATAAACCAACCTCGCAACGATCGTACATGTAAGCAACGCCGCGACGTAAGTGGCAGTTTTCAGAGATCCCACCCTAGGTCGATACTGCTCCGAATTCCCTGCGCATTGTGCATGCGAATATATGACCCCAATTCGTAAAATGTGTCTCATTCGAGGTGTGGACACAGGGCGAAGAGCGAGAAACGAGGCGTACGTGCAGCTTGCGCACTGATGCAATGCATCTCTTTGTATAAGGAAAAAAACTAAAGAAAATTGCGGGCACAGCGACAGACCACGCAGGTGAGCAAATTACACGTACCACGTGTCGTCTGCACAAGCAGACGACTTCAAATAATAATAAAAAGATTGCTGCACCATCTGGAAAGCATTATATAGTAAAATTATTCTATCGTTGCAGCAAAAACTTTTTATTAAGTAATTTGCTTTACTTATTGTTTTCTCGCAAATGCGAATCTACAAAATGATAATATTTACGATACATATGTCCTCTCGCGACAATTTTATAAACTACGCATACTTATGCATGGCCTCCAAGATAAGAAACACAAAAAACACGCCGCGCGTTTGTCATTTCGGAAGCCAAAACTTAGGCCACATTTTCTTTTTGTTTTAGAATTACTTACTATTAATTGTGTGAACTATTGCAGACGAATGGATTATTGTTCACTCGGCACGGAATTGCAAATAATCAGGCCAACGTCTTAACACTTGAAATACTGTACTTCTGCCATCAGTAATGTTCTTAAGTTGTGAACGACAAATGTGGGCGGCTACAAAGCCTACAAAGCACGTCGCTCATCGCAACATCAGATGCCCCGAGTTTTGATGCCGCCAATTCCGCTGCAGGGTATTCGCTGGCAGCGCCACAAGAGCTGTTGGTAAACGCATGACCTCCGAGATTGCAAGGCGCGCGACGTGGTTAACTTGCCGCGCGCCCGCAATCTCGGAGGTTATAATAAACGGCAGCTTAATAAAAAGCTTTTTACAGGCCTGTGCACTTATTTTAGTACGCTAACTTGGTCCTTACATGCCAAACTTTGAAGCAAATCTGCGCAGTTTGAAGACATCTAAAAGAAGGAACACACGCAGGCGCTGTGTCGTTTTTGTGTGCCTTTTCTCTGGAGTTCTCTTGAATATAGATTGATAACGTTATGATCTCTATAATATGGCCGTAGTTTGCCAAACCTGGCGCATTAATGAACTGACTGTAGCCACAGCAACTCTAGTTGAATGTAGAGGTGTGCGCCGAGGTGGTTTCGACCGGCGGTGGCGTGGAGGTCGTTCCGAGTCGGCGGCGGCGGCGTCGTCGGCGCACGCCGGGCAAAATGATCGGCGGCGGCGCACGGCCACTTTTCGTCGTCGGCGTGAAAACCGAATGTACAATTCCAAAAAAAAAAAAAACTACTTTACTGTGTTTTCTCTGCTTATTTAGCTGAAATTCAGTACTTTTAACAGTAATGCCTGAGACAACAGCATGGAAATGTAAGAGGACTGGCAAACGCTCCGTAAATGATTTGTTTTCAAGTATACATATTGAATGTAAGTTCCTTCAGCGCGCCCGTTTGTTCACATAGCTAACATTGTATTACAAGAAACATTTCTTTTTACTCTCACAGCGATGCTGTTATATCTGCTTGGTATAATTTCTTATTAACTAACACGTTGTAATGTTTTTACTTCCAAGTAACAGTTAGTCTTTTACTTATTATCAAATGTACCACTTGCCTCTGTAATGCCTTGCGGCCTTGAGGCTACTAATAAATAATTGAATAATTGAGGAGCCTCTTTTCAACGAATAAGTGAAGGCAAATGGAGCTCGCAGTCTTTGTGTGTAATTTACTGCTTTTTTTTTTCCTGAGTAACAGACAGGTGGGCGATTTATCTAGGTCGCAATGGCATATGTATTCATGAAACACACGAGAAAGGCGCTAATTCGTCTCCCATGAGGGGACACTGCTCAGCGACGTATGATGCAAGTGCTACAATGCAACAAATACCAAAAGAGTGAAATGAATATATGACTACATGTGCTTTTTTTTCTTTTTCCATTATTAAAGATTCCATTCTTGTAAGACGCAAGAAGGTGCGGGTAGGGGTGGAGCGCAGTGCTTGAGTCTCCTTTGTTTGTCAGACACCTTTTTATCAACATACCAGCCCATACTCCCTCCTCCTTTTGTTCCCTTAAATTGAGTACTGAAACAAAATTTTGAAAGCGAGATAACCTGTCAAACAGATTTGTGTAGGTACACACATCATCTACAAAATGTACACAAATATTGTCGCCCATAACGTAGTCAAAATTAATCTTGAATCACGTGTTGCCCTACGGTCATTCGGGTAAACAAACAACCACCCCCCGCGTCACAAGTTTTGTGTTGGCTGCTTCTGGCGAATAATTGCGATGGAAAGAGGGGCAGACTTGTACGGGAATACAAAGGTTGGTGTTCGAGCTTCAGTAACGTTTTTGAAGGGGTCACACATATTTACAACGCCCGAGAAGAGATCACAGGAGCGCCCATAAAGCCTTCGTTCAAAAGACTTGTCAACATGGTGATTCACGTGCACGCGGTTTTGTGCGTCCACCTAGCCAGTTACCTTTGCACGAAAACCCAACCCAAGATTCCTTTCCTACATGCGCGAACCCCTCTGTGTCCCGCCTCACTCGGCGCTCTGTGGAAGCAAGACTTCAACAATCAACATGGCGTGCTCGAGCAAACGAGCTTTCCGGCCGTGAGTTGCAAAAATAAAAACGACATTTTTTGCGTAAGTGCTCTTTTGCTCACAGAGCCCAAAAAGTAGGGGCTATTTATGACGCGCGCCAGTCTTATCTGCTATCACAGTGTGTTGAAGGTTCAGGTGCTAGGGCGTAATGTACGACTGGTAGTGGAGATGGTCGTAAATTAAATGGCTGCCGCAAAGCTTTTAGCAACGCTTCATTGCGCAAAAAATCCTTTCTTTTCATCTTGCTGTGCTATCTCCATGCCTTCCCATGACCCCCCGCTCAGCTTTGTTTTGTGCTTGCCAGCTATGGGCGAGGCGAGTTTTAGCTAATCCCACCAGCCTCACCGATCAGTTACTGCAGGCTTCCCCTGAAAAGCAACCATACACGTACAAAAATGTTCTAAATCACCTTTCTCGGGCAAGAATAAAGAAATCTTAAAACAAACGTGAAAACTCCAATCAAAATAATCAATCATCCAATCACCACTCGTCACCACAGTGGTATAATTAAGGGAGAAAATAGTCTGTGACCTCGGCACCAACGGTTATTTACAAAGGTGTTTATTCGCAGCCCTCCGTAAGAGAAAAGAAAGGGAAAATGTGACACCAACCGCGCTGCAAAGGCCACGTGTCGATTTGCTACATCGTGGGCACCGGAGAGTTTAAAAAGGCAGGAGTCGACGTTGCCTTCCACCACCATCGGCAGTTTCATCTGCTGGTCCAAAGACCTTTCACCTGCGGGAAGAGTGCAGGATCGCGTGCGACGGCTTAACCGAGAGCTTCCATGAAAAAAAGGTGGCAGCACAGGAATGACTTCCTTGAAATGAACAATGAACGGAGTGCCGAGGCAGAACATTGTTAGCGGGTTGGCCACCATACCAGTCCCGACAGCGCGGTGATCTTCTAAACAGATAGAAACCTTCGCCCGCGGCTCCCCTTGAATCCTGACACATTCAGCAGAAGTGTGGCAGCTTGGGCTATAGTTGGTATGGCATGACGATTCAGCAGACACTGGGAGACACCATCCGCACCACTGGGGACACTGCCCTCCATCTACTTCCAGGGCTTGCAATGAGTCGTGCCAATCAGCTCGGGCCTTCTCACCCCTGAAAAAAAAAAAAAAAGAAAGCCGGTCAGGCTTCAAAACATTGGGTTTCTTAATATAAATATTCAATGTAGCTTTCTGTTTTGTTTTTGTTTTCATTTTTCTGTTATCCCAACCAAGCAGACTTCTGCCGAATGCTCACCTCTGAAATATTTCAGATATCTGTGCTGCACGCCTTAAACCCGGAGAGTAGAGCTCGTTGCCGCGTTTTGTAGCCTGTCTGCATTCCTTGGGGCGTGCAAGGAACGCAAAAGCTCAGGTATGAGTAACTTGACCCTGGGAAAAGCGCGTGTCGTCAAGCTTTTCGCAGAATGGACTGGGCGAACACAATGACGGCTGAGGAACCACCGAAATTGCTTCCACGTGTCAAACCTGACTATGAATGTAAAGGAGTTTAAATAAAATAAAAAATACAAAAAACAGGCGCAACTATGCTGTGTCGGTATGGAGTCCTGAACTGCAGGCGTGCTGATAAAATGTTAAGAAGCTCCTCAAGTTCTCAGGGGGTCACAAAAATGTTTGACCTCATTACAGTTTGAAGGAATTTGTTTTTGCCACTGACTAAGCGTCGCGCATGGTTCGTGTGTTAATGCCTGCCCCCTTCCTCCTTGGAATCCGCTCGGAAAGCTTTCAACGTATCACATGGCAGGAAATGATATAAAAGCTGGATATCGTGCGTTGTCACTACATTTACAAAACTTGAAATTCGTCGAGACAGGTGATTTGCTATTGGAAACTTTCTTAACGCAATGCAATAAAAGGGCATCCACAAGTGCCCGTCCCGTCTCTCTCGTTCTTGCTGAATATTTTGTTTCGCGCTCCGTAATTTTTCAGGTCTTCACATTTATTCATGCAAAAAGGGGAGCGGCGTCTGAGTACTATACAGTTCAATGCAGGAGAGAGCGTAGGGGCGCTCGATGCTCGCTGAATCGTGCTGCTCTGTCGCCTTGGAAGCCGCGTGATTTATGAAGGTGGAATACAGTGCTCATACTCCGCTGATTTAGTACATAATTGTAGATTAAACTCAATGTAAATCACGATGTTACGTAATGAAATTTCCGGGAGGTACACATGTGCCAGAATATGCTGCACAACTCACTTCCATGTCCTCTTAAAGCCATGTTCATTTATTTCGAACAATTGTGAATTACACTAGATGCACGATAATGAAGGTACGGATAATTATTCAGTTTTTCCTCTCGTTATCATGGCAATCCGATATGCGTTCTGCTCTGAGAAAAGATCATACGAGTTTTGTAGCATGCATGAGCATAAATTGCTCATTATACCATAGTCTGCGAATGGTGTACTCTATAAAGTATAAACGAATTACCTATTAGCATTAAATTTAAAGCCAGTTCAATGCATAAAATCGATATTACATCACCAAAAATTACGGGTTTTTTTAGGAGCAACTCCTAACGTCTTGTTGGAAATTCTAACTTCAAATTGTGAAATCACGCCGGCACGAACTGCATTAGCTCCGTGACCAAATGCACTGCAAACAAATTTACAGATAGCTGTGCACCTAGGAAGTAGGCAGTATACATTAGCTTCTTAGTCATGTTAGTATTTTAATGTTGATATCTCACCTCAGTGGTGCATTTTATGGCGCCGTTTCATTCCGTGCCTTTAAGTTAAGGTTATCATTTTTATTCGAAGATATGAGCAAGTGGTTTTGAATAAGGACCTTCACTGGAACGAGTTCCAAGGGTGTGGGAAATTAGACAGATTTACAATTTGGAAAATAAATTCTGTGGCTTTACAAGCCGGCACATACACGATTAGAAGGCACGCCATAAAATGAGACTATAAATATTTGTTATCATAGGTCAGCAAAATAAAAAGATGTTCTCGTTAAATAAGTTTTTTTTTTTTTCGCACAGGACTCACAAGGACTCGGACTAACCAAAATTTTGCTAAATCGAACTAGGAACCCGCTTGAACTCACGACTCAGCCGGGCTCAATCGGACTGAGGTTTACCTATAAGTATAACTCAGCCGGACTCACTCAGACTCTGACTCACGCCTCAATCTGAGTCTTTAAATTCCTTTGATAGACCAATCAGTGAGTTTACCGACTTATAATCTGAGCACATCTCTCGTTCACGTCACGCGTTGATGAACACCTTTTGTTTGCGTTCACGATGGTGCAATATGGGAGAAGGAGGAAAGGTGGTTGCTATGCCCGCATGACGATAATAGGGATGACCTTTACCGATCTAAGTAAGAATAAACCAACGAAAAACACGAATGCAGCGTAGGAACCAGGAAAGACAAGTGCTGTACTTAAAACTAAATATTATTAAAAAAAAAAGCCCCCACTAATTAACCAGAAGCACATACTTAAAAAAGAATATCTGAACCACAGTTGCACAATTAACTGTACTTTTTTTTTTCAGCAAATGTTTCAAGGTGGTATGAAACAGCCGATTTCCATGGAACACCAAAATATCAACCTCAAGTATACCTGCTATCTATACCGCGAGTTTTTTTGTTTTTTTTTTAATCTGTGAGGAAAGTTGGGGGATCACTTACACGTGACACTTCGCCTTTTTTTTTTATTTCGAAGGCTTCACGAGTTTCGCTTTCAATCTTTTTTTTTTCCCTTTGCAAATGACATACAATGATTTGAAAGAAATGCCTTTGTCATGCGGTCGTGTCTACAGAGATCAGACGGGTCGAGGCCTCGAGACACCTGTAGGGCAGTGTTAACATCCTGCAGGCACAAAACTGACCTCTTCGCTAGTCTCTGCGTCCCCAATATATCAGTGTCATCTCAAAGGAAGAAATAGATTGAACGTGAAGATTTCGAGGCCTTATAAGAACAAAAAAAAAGGGGGGGGGGGGGGCAAAGTGCAACGCATGTATAAGTGATTCTTCAGCTGTCCTTACAGCTAGATAAAAGGTTCGCGCTGCTAGATAGCGAGAGCACGTGGCGTTGATCATGGAAGTGTGCTGTTTGTACCATTTTGACACGCTTCTCGCATTTGTAGTCTTAGGTGTGCAGCTGTGGAACACCTCAGCCAATTTTTCATGAATGTGCTTCTGGTACATGGGTTTGTGGACTTTCCGCCATAAACCTTTCGCTCGATGCCCTGTCAGGTTGAGCTCCTTATAAGGTTTGTTCTTCCAAAAATATTATAAACCAACTCGCCGAGCAAGCTGCATATGCGGTGTCCTTTTTGAAACACGGTTGTGACAAATCGGCATCTATAGTTAGTTCAATTAAGTCTGAGATAAAAACTGGTGAAGGAAAGGCAGATTACTTGTTTTGATAGCGCGGCGTGCAGCATTGCATGGTGCGCAGGACAAAGCAGGTTGAAAATACAAGCCCACGCTTCAGTGTTTTGTCCGCATTCATCTTCTGTACGTTACTTCACAGTCAATATTGGACGACAGTTCGTCCAATATTGTTGATCTTGCTCAACCTGCCGATACAATGGGGATCGTTTCTGTTTGATAAAGCATTTCATATAATAATTGCCATTTTATCTTTCCTTGTTCATTAATTGGCATGCATGTTGTCCAGTTTCTTAACTGTTTTTTTTTTGTAAATATGTCTTAAACAGCTAGCCTTTCCTCAGTTATAACAATATCTTCCATACACATCGCACTTCTACCCTGCCCGTCTCCAGTTCTGGCCCCCACCCTTCGCGTTTGAGCTGCCTTTGTTCTTAGACTCGCTTACACAGTCATCATTATGAATATTCCAGTACCGACTTTCCACACCTTTCATGATTGTTAAAAGCCCGCCTCACATATTACATATTCTCGTCAGCTAGAATGTGTCGACAGTCATCGCCAAACACCACCCTTGGCGCTGTCACTGACCGGAATTAACTGTAATACAATGAACTCATAAGTATCTTAAAATTCACGTGTAAATATAATCCAACATTATTAGGAACACTCGACGACTTTTTTTTTATATAGTCCACTTATTTAACTTGAAATGGCAGGTGAACCAATTTTGGTGCGTTTGCGAAGAGGACAGAATTAAGGCTAGACTAGTGACAGAACGCGCAAAATAAACGTAGGTATGGTCGTTAGTCCTTCTAGCCACCATAACGTAGGTTAGCTGAAAAAAAAAAAATCCTCTTTAATTGGCGCGCCGATCAGTTGGCGTCGGCGGCGGCGCGCTCACCCCTCGGCGCACACCTCTAGTTGAATGCGGCGTAAATTTTGCCACCAGATGTCACCTTGCGCGCCTTTCACTTTTGTTGCATCGTGACGATGGAGTTTCGCCACTGAGCATGCTCGGCTACAGAAAGGCGATCCGGTGTTCTCTGGCTGCAACGGTCGCTTTATTTCTGCGTAGTACAAATCGTGCACGGCAGTGGTCAGCGATACACAGGTGCGTGCACAACGACCGTAAAGACTGCTCAGTAATGGAATTACCGAAAGTGGTCGAAATACTCGAGCGCATAGCTCCGCCATCGACGGCAGCATCGTGGGACAACGTTGGTCTGCTGGTCGAACCTAGCGGTTCGCCTGTCGTGAAGTGCGTGTTTCTAACGAACGACCTCACGCTGCCAGTGTTGGACGAAGCGGAACAGCGAAACGCTCAGCTGATTGTATCCTACCACCCGCCCATCTTCGCGCCACTGCGCGCACTTCGTCAGTCGCAGTGGAAGGAGAGGCTCGTCATCCGCTGTCTCGAGAGAGGCATCGCTGTCTACTCGCCGCACACGGCTTGGGACGCCGTAGAAGGTGGAGCCAACGACTGGCTGGCGTCGTGCCTTGGGCCATCTTCGACGACGGAACCGTTAACGACCGACGGCGCGGGCCGCAGGCTACATCTCGACCCGCCCGTGGCCCTGGAAGAACTCGCAACGCGACTCAGAACGCACGTGGGAGCGTCGAAAGTGAGACTGGCATTGGCAGTGCGGCACACCGCGAGCTCTGCCATCTCGCGGATCTCCCTGTGCGCGGGCTCCGGCATTTCCGTGCTTCGCGACGAATTCGACGACGCCGAGCTTGTCATAACTGGCGAAATGTCGCACCACGACATACTGGACGCCACGCAGAGAGGCGCATCTGTGCTGTTGTGCGAGCATGCAGTATCCGAACGCGGGTCGCTGGGCCAATTAGGCAAGCGACTGAGCCGAGAGGCACCCGACCTCACCGTGATCATTTCGCAAGCAGACACTGGACCCCTTCAACTCGTCTAATTTTTTTATTGTCGCTATTTGACCGGTTTCATGTGCCACAGGCCGTCGTTGAGGTAGTGCACGTTCTCCACACCGATGCCCTTGTTGATGCTCGCTCTGCAAGCAAGTGCACACAGAATAATGTTAACAGAATTTGTACACTAAAATGTCGCGTCTAAGCATGTTCAATACAGTGCAGCAGCTAGCTGTTTGTGTTCGGTCTCGGGATACCAGCCAATGCTACTATGTGTTGTTCGAAGCAAAAACGCACAGTGATGGTATTTCACTTGAAGGCACAATTATGTATTCAAGGTCATAACAGCAGCTTGAAAAATAACGAAATACTTACATGTCGTCCGTAGACATCGTTGTAAAGCCAACAGCCAAGGAGTGCTGCTTGCCTTCGGCCATGATTGCCTAATGAACGGTCAAGGAATGCTGCGAAAGTACTCGCAATTGTCAAGTGAAGTCTCAGCATAAGTTTTCACCAGTTTCCCTCGGGCCTATCAAATAAAATAACAGCAATCTTTCGAACTCTCTAGTCTGCACCATTGCATTTCTAGATATGTTACATCGTTGCCGAGTGTGTACATAAAAAAACTACATGAGAGCCAAGCCAAAGGAATTGAGTTGTTGATGGCATGGTTTTATGAGATGCGGCAAGCATGCGTAATGTTATGGTGCACGCTGTCCAATCGTCACCACGGACAGGGGTGTGCATGCGCAGTGCTGCCAAACCAGATGGGAGCGCCTGATGATGTCGATGGCTGATGACCCACACTATATCATTGCTAAAGCTTTCCACTGTTAGCACTTCTTTCACTGCTCACATAACCCACTAAGCCATTATTCATCATCCTGTGGAGAACTGAGCTGACCACTACGCATATTATTTGAACTTTATTAATGTTGTGGCTGATAATGAAAAATTATGGCCGAGCCCTTTGCAATGGGCGGGAAGCTTTAAAGCACCCCATGTTACGTAGTTGGCACACATAGTGCTATTTTCCTCTTCTACCACACTATATCTGTTGGCGCGATTGCCTAGCCCAAAATTACGCCCGTTTAGGTTTTCTTTTTTGTTGAGTTCCAAGAACCTGCGTGGATTTGTCGTAGAACACTTGACAGCCACACTGAGGGCCCTGGAACAAATACTGCTCACTCCCAGATTTTTTTTATCACTGCACACAATAGCGGTTTTAGACCCATGCAACACACAACTATGCCAACAAAATTGGCTGCTTAATCTCGTCACAGCTTTTACTGTGAAACAACAGTGCCACACATGCACCCTTCACGCACACACGCTCTTCTTCCTTCCCCTGTAACATTCTCTGAAGAGGCAAGAGAAAGGATACGACGACTGTTCCCTTGGGGACACGGGTCATTTTGGCACCAGGTGAGGTGAGACCCGGGCACATAATGTTCGCACCACTGAGCACAAACCGGATGGCTCCTTTGTCCACCTGTAGCCAGGGGCACAGGAAGGGGTACTTGTGTAGTAGCCGCAGGGTGGGAAAGTACGGCCCCTCGCGTTGCCTGAAGAACAGCAGCTCTCCGGACCCATTGATGAGGATCTCTATGTGATCATGGCTGCAAAATAGGTTACACAGTGCTGTGAATGGCTGCTCCCTCCTAACACTGTACAGTACTTTGGTTTTCTTCAGAGACTACCAGTGTATATAAGATATTGTTTTTTTTTTTTCATCGCTCTTTCACACCACGATTTTCTACACAATTTCACATCAGGATTTTCAACACATTCCTAAACACAGGTTAATTAAGAACAACTCTTACAGTAAAGTATGATGTCAAGAAAAGAAAATTGCCCCCCAGGCTAAACAGGAATGGTGCAACCTATAGAAAGAAAAGAATGTGAAAAGTTGCCGTAAGTGAATACGTCTCATTTGGCATCAAGTACTCTTAATAAAAACAATTTTAACTTGAGTGTATCTGAAAAAAGCAAGAAACAATCGAAATTTCATTTCTGAACTTGCATTACTCATGCATGTAATGCTGAGTAGTTAATTGAATATTTTAAGATGGGATCTGTGATGCTAAATTATTTTTGTTCTGGAAGTTTCTGTGGAACGATGGAGAATAGACTCCAGACTGATCTAGATCATGGAAGTCTATATTTCAGGCAGTACAATGAGATAATGAATGACAGAAGAGGAAGGAAGCAAGAGTGAGGGCAGAAAGGAACATTGCCGCAGTAAAAGGAGATTATTAAGCGTGTGTAAATTCGCAATGGCAACCGTCGCGCCTAAGAGCGCTGCAACAGTCGAGTCCGGCTGAATCGCAGCCAAAACATAGCGCTTCCAACATTGTGAACACACTGCACAAGCCATGAACCAACAGCACAGGCAACCTACCACTTGACGGTCCGGAGTAAATCTTTCTTTGGGAGTATCTGGTTGATGTAGTCTTCAGACAGAGGAAACTGTTCCAGGATTCTGCCCTTTATGGCCTTCTGTACGGACGACTTAAGCTGCGTTATGCCGGACACGTGCTCCTTTTCATCAAACCTGGGATTTGAAAAATGCTCGTTCAGTGGCGAAAGGTCTGGGCGAAACATCCGGAAGCGCACGCAAAAGGGTTACGTGTTCATGAACAGCCGCTTCACGGCTGAAATGGCTTTCTTTTTTATAGTTTAGCTCAACCTGTAAACAGCTGTAAGCATATGTTAACGAATTATGTGCAAGTCAGCTAGCCACACCTAGAACTACTTTTTTTTTCTTTTTGGCACATTTCTGCAGTATGCATGGTGCGCCTGGATAACACGAAAGAATTGACGGACATTCTACGTAGCAATGCCTTACTTTTTAAACATGTTGCTTGTATCTTTGATCGAAGGCTTCTAAACTTCCCTATCGATTGGCCAACACAAGCAATCCTTAAAACGTTTGGTTGCTCAAAAGTCCAGTACAACGCAAACCCGCAACCCACCGCTACTCTACTGCCGCCGCAAACACCACCGGGAAAAACGACTCGACTTGGCTCGACTCAAGGTGGCCTCTTCAAGTTTTCAGCCAAGCCAAAGTGTTTTGTACCGTCATTATAGCAGTCAATCCAAGTCAAGTCAAGAAAAGGTTGCTTTTGGTTCTCTTTTTGTGTTTTTGATGCAAACTCTTCGGTCAGCTGCACCGCTGTACTTGACTCACCGTACGGACTCGCGCGTTCACATCGCATTCTGCTCCGGTACTTCGACGGGTACAGGCGCGGAAGTCGCAAGCAGATACCTGCTACCTATACTATTTCTCATTCGCGCTGAAAGAAAGATCGCCGATATACCAGGCAGCTATTCCATCGGAGGTGCGCGGTTTGACAGTTGTCCTTCACGATGCTGGAGCAGCAGCAAAGTAAGTACGCGCGTTAATCATCTTCGTGTTTCTTGTCCGGCGAGTCTAAGCGACCGCGATCGACAGAACAGCGCGACACGCTCCTTTGTTTCGGACAATAGAATTGGACAAAAATTAAGCTGTTGCTTAGGGCGCGTCGAAACGCAGATGCTGGCTGGATTTTTGTCCGTTTCTTTGCGCAGTGATAGAGGCGTCTGTTCAAAACACAACTTGGCGCTCGCGTGGTGAAGAAATATTGACGAAGGTTGTAACCTGCACTATCGACATGTTCAACATCCGCAATCGGACTCGTACGCGCGGATTTGACCGATTACGTGTAGCTCAGTTAGTTTTCTTGCAGTTTCTTATGCTGGTGTTCTAAGGATACATATCGCTGTTCGCGAGGAGGAGGATTTCCAACAAAACATAAACTTTGCACTTGCGCGAGTTACTGAAATCTGCAAATTTATTAGCATATTCTGGGCTCGGTCGAGTGCGCGCGCGTCCAATCGACGTAGCAAGTATCTACAGGCTAGCAACGCAAGAGGAAAGTACGCGAAGAAAGTGGTTTGCGCAAGCACACACGTGAGTAATTGGAGACCAGCGGATGTTTTATTCGTCTAGCTCGCCGCTGTGTCGGCGCGCGTCATCGGAGGGACTGATGGCGATCAAGTAATGCGCTGTTGCTACGATGCCTGTTCACTCAACTTCATGTCATGTTAATTTAGATGTAATGTTTTGTTTGTTTGTCCTGGTACCTTTCTACCTGGTACTGCCTCCTCAGGTCCACCTCATCTCCAATTGTATGATTAAATGTACGAATAAATGTTCTGTGCGTGTGCCGTCTGCAAAAGTGCAGTGCAAATAGGGTGAAATAGCAGGTCCTTGCTTTTTATAATTGTCTGTTTTATAGAAGCTGCTCGTTATGCATTCTTGAGAAAACCATACGCTACTGCAACCTCTTTGCTTTATAAAATAAACACAGTTAACTAGCATTGTGCCACACTTCTGTATCACTGCTAGATGACCTTGGTGCTTACATAAAGAGGCAAACTATGCTGCTCTAGAACAAAAGCACATTAAACTAACCACAATGAAAAAGAGCTGAAACAAAACAAGGGCAGCCTTTGTTATGTTTGCCTAGCATTTGGCTGTTCCATCACCCATGCACTAGCTGAGAATCTGTTACGCATAGTTACGGCCATGTATTGGTACTTTCTGTATGTTCTTATCTGGACAAATTGAATAAACTACAATTTAATGTAAATTTGTTAATGAAAAGAATACCTAGTTTTTGTTTGTTACTCCCAATCGATCAGGATAAAAATAAAAGTCAATTTGCTCATTATTGAAACACCTAGATTCAACAGGCTTTATTTTACATTCATTTGCCTTTAGGTTAACTTTTCTGAATCTCGAAAAATACTTAACGCTTTGCAAATGAACAAAATGTGGAGTGGTGAATTTAATTAATTATTGCCTTTAACATGGATCCCAAGAGTAGATATTAGTTTCAACGGTTGTGCATTTTTAAGACACCTTGTGAAATTATTCTGAAAAATTTTAACTGGGAGGCATGAGAGATAGTGTATAATAATTTATTGTCGTCCACTCTTGCGAAAGGAATTGGTGTCATAGTGGTGATTTGTGCTTGCAGCCTGATGCAATTTCGCAGGCTGCCGCTACAGTTGATAAGAAAAATGTGAAAAGCAAGAATTCAGTGTATTATGTGCGATACAGATGTATTGCATAAATGATATCTCTATGACATAGCAGCCAACCAACAATGCTTGCACTGCCATTAAAAAAATCTGCAGGTAATCAGTGGTCCTCCTCACTTATCCTTTGAAGTGATAGGGCTGGCTAGCATCACAGGCTCAGCATTCAGTGATTATTGAGACAATGGTCTCCAACAATATCTGTGGGAGATAACCTTGACACAAGATTGTTAAACTTTGCGCGCAGTTTATCACACATTCTCCGAAATTGCTTTTTGTACTACGTGCTTAACTGACAAGAGTTCAGAGGTTTCATACATTGTGCTGGTTTTTTTTTTTTTTTTCTGATTGCACATGCACACTTTTTATCTTGCAGTCGTTTCCACCTGCATGCAGTGTATTGCATAACCTTATATGTGCTCTCCCTTTCATGAGGATTCTGCTGTTATCCTTACCAAAGTTGTCATAGCTGTGCTTCTTGTTGTTTTTTATGGACGAGAATAGTTGTCATACCTTACTTGGCAACTGTCTGCCACAAGAAATGACCACAATAAAAAAAAATAGTGAAAGATGTAAGAATGAAGACGTGGCAAAAGTGGCTAGGCTGCCTTGAAATTCTGCACTCCTTGAAATATTCACATCAATATTATCTATTAGTTTATTTATTTGATACTGCTGGCCTGTATTCATGGTCTCAAGAAGGAGTTGGTGTTACCAAACACAATACAGTGAATTTGAATATCGGAAAGAGTACTAGTATATACAGAACACATACTGAAGCTCTTAGCAATAAATACACTTTTGGGATGCGATCTATACTCTTCAGGTACATTATAAACTTGATAAGTTAATCTAATAGTAGGGATAAAAAATTAAAGCAGCAGGGGAAAATACTTGTACAATATTTGAGAAAGCATCAGGCAATAGATCAAGTATCACAAACTGCACTCTGTCCAGACTCGTTAGGTAGCCTGCATGAAAGAGGCGAGCTGCTCCCCATCATTAGCCATCTTTCATTTTTATATTCACATCAAATGAACAGGCATATATATGTATATTATTGTATGGCTTATGTAGTATTGTTGCTCAATGTAAGCTAGTTAAAAAATGAAAGAGCTCTGAAATTTAATAATATTGACTGTGTGCAGTGCTAGTTTAGTCTATCGTGAGCATCTAAGCAGTAATTGTAGGCATATTTTACTTTCTACCCTTTCACTAATTGGTGAGAGCTGCTACTTCAGTTTCTGTTTTTTGCATTGGTCAGTAGTGAAACGTTTATGCAGTTTTATATGAACATGTAGTCATGGAAAAAATGATAGAGAGGAATTTTCGGACTATTTGTGAAGCCTAACAACACAGTTATGCAAACTTGCCCTGTATGATGAGGTTTTCTTTTTGTCTGTATGGATCACATGTCTAATGTGTTGCTCTATCTAGTTTAAGCATATCATATTCTTGTCATCAATCGGGCTTTTGTTATTGAAAAATTAATGAAAAAAATTAAATATTATGCTATCAGTGGAGAGAAAGAGAATAAAAAATGTTTATTAGGTGGTCAGTAAGTGGATGTGGCAAGGTCCCTTATTCCAGGAACACTCTGGTTTGGACTGCCTGCTGGGTCCACTCAAGGAGATGGCACTTATCGACAAGTCCTGCAGTAATGGCAAAAGAAACTCATATGCACTCCAGAGCTTGTATAACTATTTTGTGCATTATGCATTATCTTACTGGCATCACTGCTTGACAGTACATCTGACAGTAATGAAGATTGAGGAAAATTTTATCACGGCCACAAATTGCTCACTTTAATTTCAAAATCATTTCTAGAAGTTAGAAATCACTGTCCACTTATAACAACACGAATCCAAGAGACAGTGAAGCCAAGAAAGGCATAGGTGACAGGACTTGCCGTCCTGAACTACAGTGAAGTAATTATGACATAAAGGGGAAGAAGTTAAAGTAGACAAAATAACAACTTGCTTTTGCTAAGGGCTGAGTCTACAACCTTTGGATCTGAATGAAGGTTATACGAAACTTGTATAAAGGGTTTGGTACCTAGTGTAAACAAGTTGTATTCTCGCCCACTTCATTTTTTTGCCATTTATATATGTCATAATTCATATCATGCATCCCCCATGTCTTCCTTAGCTTCACCTTGTTGTGTATAACAAACAAATAAGGCATTCATTTATTCCCCTATTATTGTTTTTATATTTGTAGTGCCTTGAAACAATTGTCCTTACTGTCCAAGATTGGTCACAGGATACTTGACAACCTGGAACTGAAGCAGCACCTGAGGCCTTATTGTTACGGTCCCAAATAGATAACGTCAGGATAAAGTACAGGCAGATTTTGCTGTCAGTGTTTTTCTTTACTTTACCTCTTTGTTGTTCTCCTCTTTTTGTACCGAAAGGCATGACCATGTAAAAGGCTAGCTCATGAACGGCTTTATTGTGTGTGGCACTTATCTCAGGGGCTTGATAATTCTTGTGTGCACATGCTGTGTGTTTGTTGTAACTTACATGCCATGGTGACTGTGTTGCTATGGCATTGTCCTGTTGAATGTGAGGTTGCGGGTTCAGTTGGCGGCTGTGGCAACCATTGCACAGAGGCAGTATGTAAAAAGGCTCGTATACCAGTGCTAACAACAAAAGTTAACATCCGGCTGGCCAAATGAATCTGGAGCGCTTTACTATATCTCTCATAGCTCTGTGTACAATTTCAGCATGTTACAAATCTTGATTTAAACAGACACTGAAGCAAAACAATGAATTGGTTTAGATAGATCAAATATGCTCTTGAAACTTCTATGCTCTTAGTTTCAACGTGGTAAATGTAGAAAATTGAGGTCAAAGTTTTATTTTTATTAGAAAGGAGAGTTGGGCCAGTTGGTGAATATTGACTAGAGACATAACTAATTAACATGAAATACAATGGACATGGTGAAGAAAACAGACATGGTGCGACACTATTTTTCAAATCCCATTAAAATCTTCGCACGAGCCGTGACAGATTACAAGGTGTATCTATTATATTTTGGCAACACCGGTGCAACTAAATTTTCTGAAACTTGGTATGTCAAGTCTACGGCACCTTCAAAGGTCCATGAACTTTACTTTTACCAGTTAGGAACTACATAGTTTCTGGTAGATGCTGTCGAAATCCACGATGCTAAGGCATTTAGTGCAGAAAGTTGAAGGTGCTGTTGCAACCCCCTTTTTATTTCGTGCGATTTCTCTTCTACCGGGTATCTTCTAGTGGCAATAGCGGGGATTTTAGAATTGTGAAAGAGTAATTCACTGATAATAGAAAGATTTTCCTTCTCTTTAGTGTCCCTTTAAGAGGTACAACCCACCACTACTGACCAGTCCAAAATTGCAGACAGTCACAAAAAGTACGTTAGTGAAACAGGACTGCCTGTTAATGTTAGATTAAACGGTCATCATCGAGACACAGGAAAGAAATTGCCGAAAGCAGCGGCACAGCATTTTAATGCAGCCGGTCGCAACTTCAACAACCTCAAAAATTACATACTTCAGTCAAACTTTCGGTCAGCATCAGACAGAAAATATACAATCATATGTTATTCATAAATTAAATACGCTCTAGTCAGCAGTCATAAACATTTCTAAAGGGGCTCTTGAATTCATTTGATGTGGTACACATGAAATGAAAACCAGAGTCTCGAACCTCTTTTTGGGAATTTTTAACCTGCCATTGGTAAATAGGGCTTCTTTTGATGACCCCGATTCAGAGAAATGCCTACCCCCCCCATTTCTTTCTGTTCTTTCTTCTTGTTTACGGAATACTTCTTTCCTTTTACCCACGCAATTTGTCGTGAGGACCTCTTCCACATCCCAAATCCACAGTTGCCCTCTCCCCCTTTATTCAAATTGGAAGAGAGGGTACGGATCGTATAGACATTAGCTTTAAGGAAATCAGTTCTAGCCTTGAGGAAGGTAAGTCCACTTGTCGAAGCAGCGGCTTGAGCACACAATGTCCTTTTACGGATTTTTTCATTGCAGACTGTCAATCGGTCATTTACTATGTGCAGTATAGCATAATGGAAGTGCATTGGACCAATAAAGGGAACACGTGTAATTAACCACTCTGTGTAATCAGTTTCATCTAATTAACTTGTCCATTTCTAATGAAATGTGTTATTAGTTCATAAATTTGTGACTTGTTCAGAAAAATAAACCAAAGAAAAACGCCTCAATACTTGCATTAATCTGTACAAAGCTCAGTACACAGCGAAGCTGATTGGTCTCATGCTTATTTATTGCTGTACCTAGGCAGCACTTGGCTGTAAGAAGATTGAACTGGACCGTGGTGATGTTGTAGCTAGTTTTGGTCTCCATCTTTGCATTATCATACTCGGTTTCCCACACGTGGTACTAGTCTTTGACAAGGACTGCAATGCTCTGAAAGCCATTTGTTGTTGGGCTAACTGCTGCTTTCATTTTTAGTGGGCCATTGCTGAGTAATAGGATTGACCCAGTTTTTTGCGGCACATACTTGTTTATGCTAAGACTATTTTGGGATAAGAGATACAAAGAACGATTTGCTGAACCACTTTGCTGTTAAAAAATAAAAGACATCGTCCATAGTAAGTCAGTTAGGATTTCTGTGTGTGCTTCTATATAGTACAAATGAAGCATTGCTTAACGATGGTTCGTCTAGTTTTACAGGTGTATGACTTCATCACATTGTTCCAAGGCAAGGGTGTGACCACATGTACGTGTTTTATGCTCGTGCTGCCGTATGGATAATTTTGTCGTTATTTCCATACCAGCTGTGAGAGTGGCAGAGGAGCCTCGGGGCCTGCTGCTGTCATCACTCAAGAGCTTTGTGTTTATTCTGGGCACAGCATTCGTGGTTCTAGTCGCTGGGAGCAACACACTCACCTGGCAAGTACAGAGCGTCGAAACGTGTGTCTTTCATTAAGAAAAAAAAAAGGGGAGCACATTGTGTTTATTTGCAGTTAGTGAAAACACAACCTTTAAATTTTAAATTTATTGCACCTGTGGAATCGAATGGGTGGATTGCACTTTCTAGAAGCGAAGATAAGCATGATAAATGCCCGATAACACTTAGTTATTTGTAACAAACAGTGCAGCACCCTATGACAGCATGTCATTATGGTGGTAAATGTTTGCAAGAAACGTACTATTGGCCACATCAACTTGAAAAGCAACAAAGCAGTATTGTAAGTATGTACCACTAACACAGAATTTACAACAATCACACAAATTAATTGTAGTCTACTTTATTCTGTTATGGTAAAAAGAGCGAAATGGTACTTTGAACAAGTATGTATTTTTTATGTGAATGACATTAGAGAAACATTATGAGAAGCATTATGAGAAACAGCAACAAAAAAAGAACTGGACAGACAATTATGTAGGTTCATGAAAGTAAACAAACTCTTCTTTATCTTAACATACACTTTTTGAAGCCCAGGACGTCTGCTGCCTTCTGAGGTTTTGTCTAGACAATACATACTTCATGTTCAACAAGCAATATTTAAAGCAGGTGTTCGGCACAGCAATGGCCGCATCCGTGTCCTTCGTTTGCACCAACATTGCACTGGAGGATCTCGAATGTGGCACGCTTTGCTCATTTGCGATGCGACCAAGGTTTTTTCTAAGATACATGGCTGATTGCTTCTGTGTCATCCGTCGCAAACACACAGCACAGTTTCTCCAGCACCTGAATTCTTTCAAGTCGAGCATACAGTTCATAGAAGAGGAAATCAATGGACGAATTCCTTTACTTGACGTCCTTGTGGAGAGAACCTCCAATGGACTAAAAACAAGCGTGTACAGAAAGCCAACGTACACAGAAAAGTACCTCAGCTTCGACTCGGCACACTCCATCGGACAAAAGAGATCCGCCGCAGCAGCACATTATTCCTGGGCCTTCTGTGTCTACTCCAGCCTTACAAAATGTACGCAACAACTGCAGAGGGTGAGAAGGGGCCTGTTAATGAACGGTTATCCTAATCAACCTCTCAGGACTTAGGAGCATAATTCAGCTAAGCTCTGCCATGAAACGGCAGAGAAAAAGAAAGTGCGCAGCGATTCCTTACGCAGTGGGAACAAGCGAGGCGCTCACAAGAATTTTTAAAGGCTATGGCGTTAAACTAGCCCACGTGCTAACTGGAAAACTCCGACAACAGCTTATTCATGCAAAAGATCCTTTGAAGTGCACGGATTTCCCGAGATTTATCTACAGGATACCGTGCGGAGGATGTGATGTGTCGTACATTGGCACGAGTGGAAATTTCAGACGGCGTTTGAAACAACACCAAAGTGACGTCGTCAAGGGCCACACAACTGTGAATGCCTTGGCGAAACACCACAAAGAAACTGGCCACAGTATTGACTGGGAAGCAGCAGACATTATCGCAAGAGAAAGACATTTATCTGCCCGTCTTTCTTTATAATCATTTTACATTCAGTCGACTAACCGCACGATAAACAAGACAAATGGCAATCTACTAGAGGTATACACTTGCACGCTGCGTCACCTGACCTCTAAATAGCCGCATGTCCTATGCTGACATCGTCATTCTGATCAAGGAACCCGTACGGGGCCGGAAACGTCAATGCTTGTTTACTTTCATTTTTACCTTGGCGAGTGTAAGTTTATTGCACAAACGTGCACCACACTCATCATAGACATTCGAATCTGAAAATAAAAAGGGTCTTCATTCTCCTGTCATTCTGGCTTTGTTATTCTTAATCTCACTTTTTTATTTCCTTCTCCAGGCACCTGCAACGCTTCTGGGGAGCGTCGGGCAACTTTTGGCAAGGCCAGTGGGATGCTGTCGAGGCTTTCTTTGATGGTGATGAGTTCTCCAAAAGTATATGGGGTCAGTCTCTCCTCCCTTTACATCATTGTGAGAGTTGCGTGCTCTAAGCATTGCCGTTCCAAACATTGTACTTTCAGATCACGAATTTTTCTCTGTTATGACTCACTTCACAACTTTTTCGCTGTGATATAGCCTTCCGGTGTGGTTTTCTTCCATTCTTCTTTAAACGCTCTTAATTTGATTTTATCATTAAGAATAGCATTGGTAATTTATTGGCATAATTTAGAATTGGAAGCTTCAATGCTGTCACCCATTGATCACCAAATGTTTTTCCGGAGGATCCAGCACCATCTGGGTTGAATTAAAGGCATTAATTTAGAATTCTCCATCATCAGTTACATGACATGAATTGAATCATGAGTAGCACTCTGAAATGGAGCTTAGGCACACTACAGGAATGATAAGCAGTAAAGCATGTTGCAGCAATAGCAAAATTCAAGAGTTGAAATCATCATGAATGCTTAATAGTTAGAGAAAATGTAAAAGGAAAACTAGTATACAATAACATGGGCGTGGTGCCATATAAAATATCCGTACGTGTCACATACTTGCTTCATCATATTTTGTCTTTTTTGGGTTGTTAAAGGGGCCCTGCCACACTTTTCTAAGTAACTGTTGAGTGGCTTCACTGAAGGAACCTATTGCCTTATCAATAGGCCACTGCAAAAACTTTTAGAGTCTGTCAAGTACGAGCGGAGTTACAGACATTTGGCACACACTGTAATTGCTTTCTCTCTTCTCTCATTCCAATGTGCATGCTGGATGACAGGGGTGAAAGAAGTTGCATCATGTGTGTGCAATGACCTTGTGAACTTTTTCTCTCTTTTATTTTTTTCTTTGAGTGCACAGCTTACTTTCAGTGTGACTTTCAGTATTATCAGTGTTTCGGTGTTTTCAGTGGGCTGTCGTGGCTGCCATGGTAACTAGGCAGCTCACAATGCTCAAATCAGCCAATGACCATGAATGTGGGTATATGACGCAGTCATTCGTGTGCATGGCATCATTTTTAAAAATAAGAGCTAACAATTTAGAATTCTATTCAAACTTACTTTATTCGGAAATTTTCTTACTGTAATCGCAAAAAGAACATGCAAAGATAAGAGCAAAAAACTGCTATGTTAGCAGCATGATAAGGCTTCTGCCCCTTTTTTCTTGGCATCAAAAATCTGTTGAGCACAGACGTAAAGACATTTGAACATGGAACTGTGAACTATAGAAAATTATATCAGTTTCAGTTTACATAAAAAAGAGTAAATAACGAAAAAAAGAACGAAAGAAGAGCAAATAAAATAAGAATCAGTGTAGGTCAATGATCAAACAATGCACTGAGCTTGATAATTATAAATTTATTGTTTGGCTCGTTTTGTCAGGAGTCCCGAACACCGATCAGCGGGGTTTCCTGACCATGCTGGAAAAGTGTTGTAGGGTCCCTTTAAATATTCTTGATATAGAGTCAACCAGCCCGCCTTTAATTCATATCTGGTTGGGAGCCTTGTATAAATAGTGTTGCATCTTTCTTCAAGAAGCACGTAAGCAGTCATTGTAATGTGCTACATTAACCGTATAAAACTAATGGAGCTTGTTATGAGAGGATCTCAGCTCCAGCATGTATGATGCCTTTTGGTTGCATACCAGGTGTAAGGAATGGACACAAAAGTGCTGTGTTTAGGTACGATTTGTGCTAAAAGGACTTGCAAGCGCCGAGGAACGCCAAACCGAAACTAAAGAAGACGAGCGGAGGGCAGGTGGCACGAAGGCGATAACAAGAAATGAAAAAGAAGAGGAGAGGAAGAAGGAACGTGGAAAAAGCGAGCTCGAGCGTGGAGGCCTCGAAGGCAGACGAAGCAGTGCGCCGCTCGAGAGGACGAGTGCCTGGGAGCGTTCCTGAGCCGGACGTGGGACCCGTACGTGTCGGCCAGGTCGAGCTCCGGCGTGTTCGTTCGGGGTCGAGTCCGCCGGCCTGTTCAAGGTGCAAGGACGGGGCCTGCTGAACGGCTCCTGCCTGGGTGCAGTGGCCGGGAGCAGGTTCGTGGCGAGGCCTACCGGGCGTGGTCCTCGTGAGCCGGGGCCTGACCCTGAACCACAGGAGTTGCGACCCTGACTGCTGGCCGCGACGTCTGACTAAACGGCGCTGCACACGGTAGCGCATCCGTGTGCCATAAGCCGTTCCAGCCGCTCCAGCCGTGCCACCTTTGCCCTCGCGCACGTCGACAATCGCATCATGTTGGGACGACGGGGACCCAAACTGTGAGGCAGCGTTTTCCTCTTGTGAACTGAGAACTCTACGCGCTGGACTCGGAGTAAGCGTAGCCGCGAGCTCTCCGCATGCTAGAGGTCTGACTCTCGTACATGTTGCGTGACGCTCGGCGTGTAGGGTTGGACATATAGTTTTATTTTCGCCTGCCATGACGTTCTCTAGTGTACAATATAACGCTTCTTTTGTTCGCATCCATTGTTGATGTGAATCCTTTTTCGTCCGCTGTCAACAAACATAGTGACGAACGTCCTTAACCATCACAATTTCTGGCGTCCGCGACAGGACTAAGCTCTCGCCTCACATCTGAGAGCCTCACGTTGTTTGTGTGTGGCGGACGAGGATGGACGATAAGAGAAAGCTAGTTGAGCTAGGGAAGGAGATGGGGCTGAGTGGTGAGGCTCTGCTGGCATGGGTGAGCACGGAGGAAAAAGAAATGAGGGACCAGAGAGCGAAAGATCGAGAGGAGGCACGGCTAGCAGCACAGGTGGAGCATGAGCGGGAAATAGCTCGCATGGAGGCTGAAAGGCTCCTGCTCGAGGAGCGACGTCGTGTCGCAGAAGCGCAGCGGCCGAGCACGAGTTCTGCGGACGATAGTATGGGTGGTGGTCAGAGTTTTCGCAGCCCACACAAAATGATTCCGCCCTACAATGAGAGTAGGGACGAACTGGATGCGTACATCCAGAGATTTGAGTGGGTTGCCATGAGCCAAGGCTGGCCAACCGACAAGTGGGCCCTGTCACTGAGCTTGTGTCTAACGGGTGAAGCCTTGACCGTGGTAGGACGGATGTCTCCAGAAGACTCTACGGACTACGCAAAGCTCAAGCAGACGCTCCTCCAGCGGTTCCGTTATACAGAGGAGGGATACCGCACGAAGTTTAGGGATGCCCGGCCCGAGAATACTGAGACAGGTCGACAGTTCGCGGGACGTCTCTGTGGATACTTCGACCATTGGCAGGAGCTGGCGAAGACTCCCAAAACATATGATGCACTGCGAGACAAGATGGTGTCCGAGCAATTCCTCAGGCGGTGTGACGAGAAGTTGGCTGTCTTCCTGAAGGAGCGAGGATGTCATAACCTGGACACGTTGGCAACGACGGCTGATCAATATTTGGAAGCTCAGGGAATTGTGAATCTCGCTAGAGGAAAAGACGAAAAAGGGAAACCGATGGCTACAGCTAAAGTTGACACTGTCAGCGAAAGCAAAGGAAAACCGCTTTGTTTTCTGTGCAACAAGCCGGGTCATCGAGCTTCCGATTGCTGGACAAAGTCTCGAGCGCCCAAGTTGACGTCGTGCTGGATCTGTAAGAAGTCAGGGCACAGATCCGATAGTTGTCCCTCAAACTCAAGAAAACGTAGAGAGGCATCATGTTCCGTCTTGGGATACCAGAAAGCGCAGCATGAGAAATCAATGGAAGATGCGCCTGACAATCAGGATGAGAAACATTGTCATGACATGTGTGATGGGACCCAAAGCAACGCAACTTGCGACAACGGGTCAAAACAAATGCCAACTGTAAAGGGCTATCTCGAAGGGAAGCGGGTTACCGTATTGCGGGATACCGGTTGCAATACAGTAGTGGTGAAACGATCGCTAGTTCCTGACTGCAACTTGACTGGCAACACCCGTACCGTTCGCTTATTGGACCGATCTGCAAAAGTCTTACCAGAAGCAGAGGTGTACATAGATTCTCCGTTTTTCAGAGGTCATGTGCTTGCTGTTTGTATGGAGAATCCATTGTATGAAGTCGTGCTTGGCAACATTGCGGGTGTACTATCAGCTGCCCGACCAGCCCCGAAGCAGCCAGCAAGACGTCGAAAACTAGCACAGATTCACCGTGATCCAGTATGCACTGAAGAAGAACCTGAAGATGCAACCTCATCAGGTAGAAGACGACAAGATGACATGTCGGCGGCTGCACGAAAAGAAAGGAAAAAGCCCAGTGAACTGATTGTTCCTCGGATCCAACCCCTGGATATCAGCCGGGAAGCGCTAAAAAATTTACAGCACACAGATCCCACGCTGGAAGCCTGCTTCGCCGCATTGGGGAAGACCATATCTAAGAAGCCAGCAGTCACTGAGTTTGTGCTGGTACGCGACATTCTTTTCCGGCGCCACCGCACGGCAGAAAGGCGAGACTTGGAGCAACTTGTAGTACCCAAGGATCTTCGAAACACCGTAATGAAGATGGCTCATGAAGGCCTTCTGTCTGGTCACCAAGGGCAAAGAAGGACAACAGACCGTGTCCTTACAGAGTTTTATTGGCCGGGTGTACGGGCTGATGTGATACGGTTCGTGAAGTCGTGCGACGTATGTCAGAGGACCGTGCCTAAACACCTCGTCGGACGAGTACCATTGGGAAATATGCCTATCATAGACACACCTTTTCAGCGGGTCGCCATCGATATTATTGGCCCGCTGTCACCAACGTCATCCAAGGGCAACAAGTATGTCTTAACGATGGTAGACTTCGCTACGCGTTACCCGGATGCGGTGGCACTACCGAGCATCGAGACAGAGCGCATAGCGGAAGCACTAGTAGAGATGTTCTCCCGCGTTGGAGTGCCCCGTGAGATAGTGAGCGACCGTGGAAAGTCGTTCACCTCGAGTCTCATGCAAGAACTCGGTCGGCTACTTTCATTTCGTCAGCGACCCACAACGCCTTATCACCCCATGGCCAACGGACTTGTGGAGAGATTTAATGGAACTCTCAAACAAATGGTTCGCCGCATGTGTCAAGAACGGCCGCAACATTGGGACAGATACTTGGCTCCCCTGCTCTTTGCATACCGTGAAGTTCCCCAGACGAGCCTTGGATTCGCGCCGTTCGATCTCCTCTACGGCAGATTTGTACGTGGCCCAATGTCGATTCTTAAGGAACTGTGGACAGGGGCCAACATCGATCCTGAAACGAAAACAACATACCAGTATGTTATAGATCTCCAGGAGCGACTGCAAGACACCTGCAAGGTAGCGCACGAAGAACTCCTGAAGGCGAAAATGACACAGAAGAAATATTTCGATAGGAAAGCAAGAGTTCGACACCTATCACCCGGAGACAAAGTATTGCTGTTGCTACCATCAGATAAGAATAAATTGATCTTGACATGGAAGGGACCCTTCACAGTGCTTGAAAAACGCAGTGACTATGACTACGAGATAGATCTCGGAACACGGAGAAGTCTTTTTCACATTAACCTTCTCAAGAAATACCACGAAAGGGAGCCTATTGCTTACTGAGTATGACTTTGTGGTTGAGTACATTAAGGGCTCTGACAACGTAGGTGCCGACTACCTCAGCCGCATTTCACTTCTCCGCTGGTTAGCGTTTAGTGGGGGCACGATTTCTTTTCATGTTAATTCACCCTTTCTCTAGCGGAATGAACTTCTGTAAATGTTTTTTTTTTTGCTATGTTTTCGCTTTTGGGTACTCCACCTCGCGCGCTTGTGAAAAGTTGTTTTCCCCCTAAACAACTTTCTTGAGCAGGGGGATATTTGTAAGGAATGGACACAAAAGTGCTGTGTTTAGGTACGATTTGTGCTAAAAGGACTTGCAAGCGCCGAGGAACGCCAAACCGAAACTAAAGAAGACGAGCGGAGGGCAGGTGGCACGAAGGCGATAACAAGAAATGAAAAAGAAGAGGAGAGGAAGAAGGAACGTGGAAAAAGCGAGCTCGAGCGTGGAGGCCTCGAAGGCAGACGAAGCAGTGCGCCGCTCGAGAGGACGAGTGCCTGGGAGCGTTCCTGAGCCGGACGTGGGACCCGTACGTGTCGGCCAGGTCGAGCTCCGGCGTGTTCGTTCGGGGTCGAGTCCGCCGGCCTGTTCAAGGTGCAAGGACGGGGCCTGCTGAACGGCTCCTGCCTGGGTGCAGTGGCCGGGAGCAGGTTCGTGGCGAGGCCTACCGGGCGTGGTCCTCGTGAGCCGGGGCCTGACCCTGAACCACAGGAGTTGCGACCCTGACTGCTGGCCGCGACGTCTGACTAAACGGCGCTGCACACGGTAGCGCATCCGTGTGCCATAAGCCGTTCCAGCCGCTCCAGCCGTGCCACCTTTGCCCTCGCGCACGTCGACAATCGCATCATGTTGGGACGACGGGGACCCAAACTGTGAGGCAGCGTTTTCCTCTTGTGAACTGAGAACTCTACGCGCTGGACTCGGAGTAAGCGTAGCCGCGAGCTCTCCGCATGCTAGAGGTCTGACTCTCGTACATGTTGCGTGACGCTCGGCGTGTAGGGTTGGACATATAGTTTTATTTTCGCCTGCCATGACGTTCTCTAGTGTACAATATAACGCTTCTTTTGTTCGCATCCATTGTTGATGTGAATCCTTTTTCGTCCGCTGTCAACAAACATAGTGACGAACGTCCTTAACCATCACACCAGGGTTCATTGGTCAGCTGACTTCTTTTAAAAGTTCACATACTATGTTATGCCGTAGTGAAAAAGAGTGTTCCACATTAGCTACCATGACCACAAGTGCCCTTGCATAACACTCCCAAAGTTGCACTCACATATGTTGATGTGAACTTAATGGACAGTGTAACTGCTGTCGTCGCACAGCAAGCATAACATAGAGGATGTAAGTTTGGTTCCCACCAAAACTAAATGCTTTCTTTCTGTCGCCTTTTATTTACTTTCATGTCATAATTATTCCATTTCAGTTCAAAAGCTACAAACACTTCTTACAGTTACCTTGGCTTCATTATTTGTACATTGGCTTTATATGGTTGCTTCTAACAGAAACAGACCCTTCCGACCGATTTCTGTTCTGCGTTAGGACACCTTTTACAGTGAAAAAAAAAAGCATCGCGGATGGTCTTGCAGGCACATTTGCAGTCACCTTTGCGGTCTACTGGGTTTTTGGTGGTCTTTATACGCTGATGGACCTCACTGGACGTCCTGCGTTTCTGCTGCGATACAAAATCCAGGACACAGCTCCATACCCAGTGAGTCTTTACCTTTTGTTTTCTTCTTGTTTTGTCGTCTCACTGGCCATTGGCCATATTGTTTCGAGCACGCCTCCACAGCTCCTAAACAAGACCTTGCTTTGCTTTTTTTTTACCTAGATATTTAGGTGCATTATTGCATGATGAATATGTAATGCAATTACCTGCTCATGCAGACGGCCTATGTGCTCAGCCTTGTAGTGAATTAGAGGAGGTGCCATTCTTGCATTCTCCTGCCATCTTTCCTTTCGCTCGATGGGTCCTACCTTGCAGTCCCAGGATGGCCTGATGGGATCTTAAGTGAAGCCATATCACTGAAAACATGGACTAGAAAAAGGACAGGACGTGCGCTCCTCTTCCTCGGTCCGTGTTTTCAGCACGATGGCTTCATGGTTGTATGAAACCAACTAGCCCAAAAGTCTGTACTGATAGGATCTTATTGCAGACTTTATCTGGAACATTATGGTAGAAGATAGCACTGGAGTAGCCAGGGGGGCTGAGGGGGTTCAACTCCACCCACCCTTTAAATTTTCAATTTTTAATCTGTATATATACACGTATACATACAAATGAACGTTATGGGAGCGGTGGCTGCGACTGTGCGATTGTGGAAAGACGAGAGAAATGGTGAACGCGGGTACGCTCGTGGCACTTGGCATCTGCTGGCAGCGGACAGTTGGGGCAGAGGCTTAGATGATTGAACATGGTTCCTGGTCTGGCTCCGCATCTTCCATGAGGGGTTCTGCTCTAGCCACAGCCTTGACACACCTATAACGTACAAACATTATATAATAAAATATTGTTGACCCCCCCCTTCTCTCTGGCAATGCTACAGGAGAATAGTGTGAAAATTCACTTGGAGTGTCCCTATAATTGATTACAATAATTCTATTTGTTTCGTCAGTAATACCTTACTAATATTTTTGCTGTGCAAGTGATGATGTTTTTATCCTGCCAATGGCCACAATGGTGAAAAAGGCGCAACTTGGTAGTGCTTTGGTGAACTTAAATAAGTCTATGTTGGACTCCTACCACAGGTCAAGTTCAGCCACGTATGGCGAGTGGTACGGCAGGTGCTCTTCAACCAGCTGGTGGTGGGGCTGCCCTTTGGCCTGATAGCCCACCAGCTGCTTGTGTGGCGTGGCTATGATCGCAGCCCACAGCTACCCACCTTCCACTGGGTCCTCTTCGAACTGGCAGTCTGTGTGCTGGTGGAAGAGGCAGGCTTCTACTACGCACACAGGTATGTGCGTTCATCAGCAGCTGGTATGCTTTTTTCATGAAGCTGATCTCCCAAATGAGGCATTCGACGTCACGAACTATCCGACTTGTTAAATAGTTCATTTCACATCTTGAACCAGGAAACAGCATGGTAAAAAAAAAAGATGAAGCAGAGGAGCTAATACACCATATGAAGCACTGCTGTTTCGTGTTGTTCGCTCCTCTAGTTTGTCTTCAGATTTACCGCATTGTTTGATTCAAGGATGCCTTGGGATTTTAGGTTTGCCCTGTGTACATGCTAGAATGGCATAAGCTGTCTCCTAGACTGTGCTTGGTATTTGCCATGTTTGTGGTGCTTTGGCGCTTACTTCAGCTTGCTCACTTGCTTGTCTGCTAAGATCCCACTCCAGCAATATAATAGCAAGACTGCTTTAGCGACACAGCAGAGAACTCAGCCGGCTGTAGCAAGGATTGAAATGTCATAAATTTCTACACCGTCGTGACCACTTTCTGGCATCATGATAAGACGCTCTTTTTGAATAAAAGACCAATATTCGTTCATGAGAAAGTTCATATAGTAAGTCACCAAATGTGTGCTGAAGATTCACGGACTGGTAGGCATGGGACCAGCCACCACAGCTCAAGTTGTCAGGGAATGCAACTGGCTGTATAAGACATGGTCAAGGATTCACAGCAACTACATTTTAACCATTTTAATATATTAACAGGTATTATTGTGTAGTGGAACTTCGATTATACATCTTCCTGTTTCGCACCGACCCACATTTTATGACGAATTGGCTTGGTTCCGGCGATATGCCCACAGGTGTGATGTATTAAAAACCTTGGCTGTACGATGCAATTGTAGGCTGACTCCGCATCTTATGACGACGTTCCAGTTTCGTCCAAGAAGAAAAAAAGATGGCTTTACTCAAATCAAGCACCGACCAAGTATTCGCGAGTGCAAACTAAGAACGTTCCCCTAGGTTGATGGTTAAAAAAGTAAAAAGAGTGAGACAGTGCCTTCATGTTTTCAGTTCGTGGAAACTTCTCCTAATCGACATGCAGCTGATCTCCTGCCTTTGTCTGAGGCACTCGCCGTCACATGCCTTGAACATGCAAAAGGATTTGACGCAGCTACTTTCACCATGAAACATAACTTTTGTTTGACATGTACGTTCATAGTAGCAGCGGGACATCACTAGTTGCATTTCACTAGGCAACAAGTTACAATGTGCGCAACTTAGTCGCACACAAGGGCATCCTATGCAAACTTGTGCTTCGTGCTCGTTATGTGGTGGCGGTGACATTGTGTATAACTCTTCTGACAAAAGGCTGTTGCCAATGTGATTTCGGTTTCGTTTGCACGCACAGGCCAGTTTCACACTAGATTTATCAGCAAACGGATGCGCATCAGATTAGATTTTTTTTATTTGAGAAAAGGTTTGTTCTCATCACCTTCAACAAGGTAATGCTGCCATTAGCTGCCATTTTCAAAAAAAAATTAATTTAATATACGTTTCTTGGAGAAGCACAAAAATGTGTGCCATGAGCTTATTCCGGCATTCTGTAACTGTTTTTCGGGCAACGCTGATTGTCACTGCCTTATTCTTAGTTTTTAAATACGACGCCCGGTTTATAGGACGATTTTGCGTAGTCCCCTGAAAGTCGTATAATCGAGGTTCCACTGTACTTTCTTGTTTCGGATGTTCCAGGCAAATAGGTTTGTGATTCTGCTGCTGTAACTGCAAATGTTCTGCTTTTGAGAGGTGCGTGTTCTATTTTCTTGTGCCTTGTTCAGGCTATTGCACCATCCTCGCCTGTACCGGCACATACACAAGCAGCACCACGAGTGGACAGCCCCAATTGCCATCACGGCCGTCTACTGCCACCCAGTGGAGCACATCTGCTCAAATCTACTGCCGCCTTTGCTAGGTGTGCTGCTGCTCGGCTCTCATACTGCTACAGCTTGGCTCTGGTTCAGCGTGGCCTTGCTGTCCAGCCTGAATGCCCACTCGGGCTTCCACCTGCCATTCTTCCCGTCGCCAGAGGCACATGACTACCACCACCTCAAGTGAGCGTGTTCTGTTGATAATATTTTCATGTGAACTTGCTTCATTATTTTTATCTGATTGTGCTTCACCCTGTCAGGTGCGTATTATGATACACTGTCCGCTAATGTGTCATAACCCTACTACATAATTTTAAGACACTTGAAAGTGCATTAAAAAAAAAAATGAAACAGTATAACTTAAACCTCATTATAACAAACCTGGTTATGGCAAATTATCGATCATAATGAAATAAATTAAAAATAGTCTTGCAATAGTTATAGTGTTAAAAACAAACCTTTATAACGAGTTTTTGGATATAAGGAACTTTTATGTGCAAGATTCAATAAGGTTTGAGTGTATTGTTTTGTGCAAGCTTCAGTAATTATTCCTGGATGAAACAATACTTGGTTAAGTACGTAAGGATACCTGATGGTAATTAAACTTACTGAAACTGTTGTTTCATGTGGGAGGACCCCATAAGGCGTTGACACCTTTTGCCGTTCTTTTTCTAAACGTGCCTTTGTGCATTTGAATAAAACTCCGTTTAATTAAATACAACACTCGAAAGCGTAAAATATACAAGATACACAAGAAATTAGAATCACAGTGCTCGTCTTCTCCTACCTTGTGTGTCTTTTGTGCTTTAATTTTCGCACTTCCAAGTAGCATTCTCAACATGAACCAACTAGCCTCTTTCATTGCATTACTGCACTATTTCTAATTAGCATGTAATTAAATATTTTATTATTCTGCAGTCAGTCATGTTTCCATTTTCACATTTAAAAAAATCAAATTGTAGCTCAAAATTTATGCACAATTTGTTTTTAGCTGTATTCATTTAGAGCAACAACAACAACAAAAGTATTGACATTGGTCTTGGAGCGGCAGGTTTACTGACCTGTCAAACATCCTTGTGGCTTCACTGAAGTGGTTGTCTGCTATCACACAAAGCACATTGAGATTAAGTCAAGATAGATTGATTATGAAAAAAACTTCAGTTTATACTGTGGGAAATGCATCTGGCATTTTCTTGACCACAAGTATGAACTACGGGAAAAATGGGTTGCGTTCAAGAGTCTAAACTGCCTCTGTTACTTAAGTGGATAGATATGTGCTACCAATAGGTGAGCGTAAATAGTAAATTTTAAGGCAGAGAGAGAGAACACAACTTTATTGTCGTCAGACTTAAGGAGGTAGGTGACCCGCCAGGCTGAACCTGATGGCCACCTCCTCTGCCCTTTGTACGGCCTGGAGCTGAACGGCCAGGCTGGTGGAGGTCAGAACTGCCTCCCACCCCTCTGGCGAGGGAGCGGCTAGGAGATCGAGAGAGGGGGGATCTTCCCTGCAGGCCCAGAGAATGTGATTAAGTGTGGCTATTGAGCCACAATGCGAGCAATGCGGATCAATCGAGTCGGGGTATATACGTGCATAAATGTATGGGCACGGAAATGAATGTGTTTGCAAGCGGCGCCAGATAACCTCCTGGCGCTTAGTTAGCTTATGGTGCGGGGGTGGTTTTGTCTGCCTCGAAAGACGGTAATATTGTGTGATGTCATGGTAGGATGTCAAGGCTTCACCAGGGTTTTCCAAATCAGAGGCGGGTACCACCGCTCGGCTGACGAATCCTCGAGCATATAGGTGGGCCGCCTCGTTCCCTGGGTTCCCCGCGTGAGCCGGCACCCATACCAGCGCAATGGAGGATAGTGCGTCTTCCTCAGCATCTGTAAGGAGACTGGGCAATAGTAAACGCAGAGTTGTGGGGGCCACAATGCCACGTGCGAAGTTGGATATAGCAGCCTTTGAGTCACTGAGTATAGTGGTGAATCCGGATGCTGCTGCTAGCGCTATCGCCGCTTCCTCAGCTTCTGTCGTATTAAGCACACGGACAGAAGCAGCCGATTTAATTTGAGGTGAATTGGCGTTGTTGCCGGGGAGAGTGATTACGCTTATTGCATATGCTTTAGTAAACTCTCGGTATTGGGCGGCGTCAACGTACGCAACGGTTGGGTTGGACGCATCTCCTGCCTGGGAAGCAGGATGTGGTGTCATCCCCCCCAACATCAGAAAGAAATTCTTGCAAAAATTTTTAAGGCAAAATCAAATATGAACGAAATATTGGCAACACCAAATTGAATATGTATACAATTTGAATACTGTTTGAGTAGTTTTCGAATAGTAGGGCAACCATTTACAAAGCAGCCCTAGATGGGTGAAGAAACAATTTATAAAACAACCTGAGAATTTGGCAACATTTTTTAAAAACAAATGTTCACAAGTTTTAACAAAAGAACATTACGATTAGTTCTAACCAACAAAAAAGTACACCGAGGCCTGCTCATCATCATCATCATTATCATCAGCCTGACTACGTCCACTGCAGGACAAAAGCCTCTCCCACGTTCCGCCAGTCAACTCGGTGCTATGCTTGCTGCTGCCAATTTATACCCGCAAACTTCTTAATCTCATCTGCCCACCTAACCTTCTGTCTCCCCCCAACCCGCTTGCCTTCTCTGGGAATCCAGTTAGTTACCATTAATGACCAGCGGTTATCCTGTCTACGCGCTACATGCCCAGCCCACGTACATTTTCTGTTCTTGATTTCAACTATGTTATCCTTAACCCTTGTTTGTCCCCTAATCCACTCTGCTCTCTTCTTGTCTCGCCATCACAGTAGGTTACACCTACTGGAAAACAGTAGGTTACACCTACTGTTTTTCTTTCCATAGCTCGCTGCGTCGTCCTCAATTTAAGCTAAACCCTCTTTGTAAGTCTCCAGGTTTCTGCTCCATAGCTAAGTACCGGCAAGATGCAGCTGTTATATACCTTGCTCGTGAGGGATAGTGGCAATCTACCTGTCATGGTTTGAGAGTGCTAGCTCATATACAGCACCAACTAGAGCCTTCGAAATATTTTGTAATTTCAGGCTCAAATATAGCACTGACTATAGTATTCAAGGCGGTACTTTGTCAACAGCTTTCTAACAAAAATAATTCATAAAGATTGAGCAGTTTTTATGAGTTACATCATAACAGACATCACGGGGACGATAATGGACTGCTGACACTATCGCTTTGGTCACACTGAAGTTTTGAGCAAGAGCGGCTTTTTCCTGTGATCAGTATAGTGTCAAAAGCCCTGTAAGTGCTTAGGCTGCGTGCACCTTGGTAGTATTTCGATAATGAAAAAAAAAAGAGTTACACCTAACTGATATAACGTCTCAATCTTGTGAGCATTTTTCGTTGTTGCCGATTATTGGAAGAATATTTGAAAAATGTTTGGTATATTTAAAATAAGTGCTATTTGATTTGAGTAAGGAATAAAGTAAATGCTATTCAATTTGTTATTCTAAATTTTTCCAATATTCCCACACCCCTACTTACCAGCACTTGATGCAGGCTGCATTATATATCTTGGAAACTTTGTGATTGTTTTAGATTATTCAGATAACATTTTGCACACAGCGTGAGTAGTTGAGTTTGTTCTGGAGCTATCACCAGCAATAACACTGGAATGTGTAATCATGCATGATGTATGAAAGACGGCGTTTTCATGCCATATTGTTGATGACCAATGATTGTACTCACCACTATCATTGGATTGCAAGTGTTATTTCGTTTTCTGTTATTTCTTGGTAAAGACAGTACAATAAAGAGTGCCATCTTTACTAGCTTTAGTTTTCTATGCTTTACTGTCACAAACATGTGACATGATTGAATACAAACAACTACAACAAGCTGCTGTGGCTGGTTATTCCAAATTATAGATTATTGAGAATTTTTAAAAAGTCTGAGCCAAAGCATATTACCGTAATTTCTGGCACATAAGTTGCACCTTTGTGTAAAACGTAGCACCTACTTTTTTTACTTTTGCATGAAAAAATGATATATGTATATATTGTACCGAAGCATAGTGGCGCCAGCTCTGTGCCAGCGTGAAAGAAGACGTTGACGTCCGTGTGTGGCTCGTGCTTGCCGGGTTCCTGCCTGTACCAGCTTGTTGCGGCTAACGTTTCTGGAATAATAACCTGTGTTTTTACGCAACCTTGCTCGTTGCATTTGGTGGAAACGTGCTGGGTAACGTCCTGGAGCTCCGCAGCCGTAAGCTACCATCTCAGTCCACGATGACCGAGCGCGTCGATCCCCCACAAGGCTCTTCCACGCTGCCACCCGTCATGTGTTCTGGTGTACTTCGTCTGCGTGACCCACCAGTATACAACGGCACTGAAGATCAAGATGTCGAGGACTGGCTGGCAGAGTACGAGCATGCCAGCGCGATTAACAAGTGGGATGACCCTGCGAAGCTGATTCACGTCATCTTCTACTTGACGGATTTGGCCAACCTATGGTTCACCAACCACCAAGCCGACATCCCCTCCTGGTCGGTTTTCAAAGAGGCCGTCACCTCGTTTTTCGGTCGTCCAGCCATGCGTAAGCTTCGCGCTGAACTGGGACTGCGGGGACGATTTCAGCGAAATGGTGAGAGCTTCACAAGCTACATTGAGGATGTGATCAGCCTCTGTAGGCGAGTTGATGACAGGATGACGGAGGCTGACAGAATAAAGAACATAATGAAAGGCATTGATGACGACGCTTTTCATATGCTTGTGGCCAAAGACCCACAGACCGTCACGGCCTTGATTCAGTTATGTCAAAGTTTTGATGAGCTGCGCAAGCAACGAGTTTCTACATGTCGCGCTAATACGCAGACAGCTGATATTTCGGCCTTGGAGTGCAAAAGCAGTGGCCCCGACTACAGCGTGTTAATGCCTCAAATTCAACAGTACATCCGGGAGGAAGTTGCTTGACAGCTCTCTCTTGTCGCCACCATCAACGAGACCCCCACAACACTGGACCACTCACTTCGCCGTGCTATTCAGACGCAAGTTGCCGAGGCTCTCCCTTCGCCCACATCCCCAATATCAGTGGCTGCACCGCTGACTTATGCAGAAGCCGTCCGCCGACCTTCTGCCCAACCGCCGCTCCCTTCATACAGTCCAGCCACCAACTACTACAGGCCACCA